TATAGCTGGAGGATTGCTTGCGATCAGAGAGTAATTTGAGACTTGGCTGAGACGAACATAGTGCGCGCCTAATCGAGAGTAAGGAAAATGTAATAACTAATCGAGTGTCGTCCAATGCATGCGAGATGACTATATGTATAGGCTGAGAAGAGGATTGCTGAGAGATCTCTGTCTCAAAAAAGAAAACAGTATTAAGAATTAATACTACCATTTTCCTGTTGCATACTTCGTTAGAACGTGCGAGTTACACAGATAAGAGTAATAGAAGGTTAATAATGAGCAGAATGAATAAAGACAAAAAATACTATATGATTGAAGAGTTAATAGAGACATATGATATTTGTATGAGCGCAGTGCGATCGTATTCAAGACTGCTTAACTGCAATTGAATTTTGATGTACACCAAGTGATCAATTTCGCAGCTTCCACCTAGTGGCTGGATACAGCCATTGCACCACCTCTATCGGCCCTTGCTAATTAAAAGAATTTTTTAAGAGATGGGAGACGTTGCTATTCTGTACCGTGAGCATGGTCTTTGAATCTGGCCTCGTATCTCCTGTCTTGCTCTCAACAGTAGCTCCGGTACAAGTGAGGCGAGCCCTGTGCTGGCCTGAGAACATATTTTAAAAGGTTCCACGTAACGCACTAATACAAATAGACTCTTTACCTAAACCTATGTAGTCATTTTTATGCATAAAATGAGTGAAAGAAAACTTTAATGTTTTTATTTCTCAGCTGTGGATAATCTTCTGGTCTTCTTATATTTTTCTTTGATTGTTTGCACTTTTTAACATGCCTTAGTATAACAAACAAGCTATTTTTATTGTCGAACAATAAGAACTAAGGTGGTATTCCCCCTTCATTTTGTTTGTTATATGACCCAAACATGATGGTGGAATCCCTTCTTCTGAATAGCATATTAAGGGTGAATCGTCTCTTTTCTACAACAAAGAAAACGCCCCTCCTTCTTCCTATCTTATTGGAATGCGTAAGCTGAATTTTGTGTATATGTGCATGTATTCGAGTAGTTCCTCTGCAAGTCGTCTGCTTAACATTTTAAGCTGGAATTCCGTTTGTCTATCTTTTCGTTTTTGTTTTAAATACATTCAACTACCAATTTGCATGCTTCATATAGAATTGACGGCTTGACCAAAAAGATGATGCACTTTTCAGCTGAAGGCATAGTAGCAGAGAGTTGTGAAGTGGGGAATAAATCAAGTAGCTGCACGGAAAAATTCTGTGCTGAGGAAAACAAGCTAAGGCAGACCAGACAAGGATGATACTAAGAGACGAACACAACCAAGACATGCCATGAAGGAAAATGGCAAGAAGCTTTTTGTTTTGTTTGCTTTCATCTTAGACATTTGCTGCCTCGATTGAACTATTTGAATAGTAATTGACTGAGTACCTCTTGCTCATCTTTCTCATCTATAAATTGAGGGTGATCTGGTTTAAGTTTTCAGTACGAGATACCTAATGATTTATATACCGTCATTTCTGGAAATTGTTTCGTTGAATCATCTGAAGTAGATTCTATCTTTTTCATTACGCAACGAGAATTTCCGTTCGGAGTTGGCTCTGCGATTTCAATATATGAATATTGCAGATTTCGGACTGAAATAAAGGGCCTGTGCTTTATGAAGGGTGGCTTCTTATTTGAATCATTCACATTAATCCGTTATCTAAGGGCTGCTATGTGCCAGTCTATCTGTGCTAGAAACAAGATGAATATACTTAAGATTGTGGCTTCATAATGCTGTATCTCTGAAGTAGAGAGATGATCATTAAGATCCAAATTTTCGAAATATTGCTTAGCTATCGAATTATTTGTAGTATCCTGGATAGGAACTTCTACTCCATTCAACTCTCACTTTCTAGATACCATCTTACCTCTCTCCTCGATAGACCGCATCTCAGCTAGTGATTTCTTGCTTATAAATCTATTTGAGATATGATAATCAAAGAGAACTTCTACACACTTCTATAATATATCATATCCCATGTCTATACTTCTGCCTTGTGGCTTGGTCTTTTTTTTTTTGTTTTTTTTTTAAGAAGATAGGGTCTTTGCTCCCTCTCTCAGGCAAGGCAGAGTGGCATGATCATAGCTCACGCAGCCTACAACTCTGGTGAAATCATTCTCCTGCCTTGGCCTCACAAGTAGTTGGGACTACAAGCACATACCACCATGCTTGGCTGGTTTTTAATGTTTTTTTTTTTTTTTTTTTTAATAGAGATGGAGTCTCATTGTGTTGCCTAGAGGGGTCTTGAACTCCTGGGCTCAAGTGATCCTCCCACCTCAGGTGTTCCAAAGTGCTGAGATTAAAGGTGTGAGCCACTGCACCTTGGCTGCTGCCTGCTTTCATAAAGGAATTTTGGAATTTTCTATGTTCTTATCTAAAGTCATTTTCTTCATGTGTATTCAGTCCCATCCCTTCTTCTCTATTAGTTTTTCTCTATTAGTTCTTCTTGTCTATTAGTTTTCCTTCTTGTCTAGCAGTTTTTCTCTGTTCCTCCTAAATTACCAATTTTTCATTTTCTAATGAATCAAGCATGCTTTTATTTCTCCCATTTTAAAGAAAAATCTGATACAACTTCCACTCCCAGCTATTTTTTGCTCTGTTTTGCAGTAAAACTTCTTGTAAGAATTATCTGTATTCACTATTTTCAATTTCTGTTTTTCCTTACCTCACACTAACTAGGCTTTTACCCCATCAATATGTCAAAACTTGTATCATCAATGTCAGTAAACCTCCACATTACTAAATCCAATGATCATTTCTCAATTTTTATCTTTTTTGACTTATCAGCAACATTTGCCAATTGATTGCTTCCTTCTCTGAAAAATTTTTTCACTTGACTTTTAGGATATTACACCCATAGCTAGTTATTCCTTCTCAGTCTCCTTTGTTATTATTCCTTTCCTCTCCAGTCTCTTAATATGGAAGTGCTTGAGGGCTCAGTTTGTGATCCTTCTCTTCTTGTGTATGTACAGTCCCTTGGTAATCTTATCCAATCCCATGGATTTTACATACCCTCTGTATGATGATGGCTTTCAAATTTAAATCTCCAGCCAGACTTCTCTCTTGACTTTCATAATTCTATATCCAATTGTTCATTTAAAATCTCTACTTAGCTGTCTAATCAATGTCTTAAACTTAACATGTCTAAACTGAACTCCAGATTCTCCCTTCAAACTTGCTCAATACTCAATTTTCCCATCTCAGTTGATGGCACTCCATCCTTTCATTTGTTTAATTAAAAACCTTAGAGTCATCCTTTATTCCTCTCTTTCTTTCATACCCCATAGTCTGTCAGGAAATCCTGCCATATCTACTTCAAAATATATTCAGAATTTGATCATCTCCCACCACCTCTACTGTTATATCCTGGTCCTTGCCACCATCATCTCTGGCCAAAGATGTTTGCTACAGTTTCCTAACTGGTTTCCTGGCACAGACCCATGCCCCCTATAGTCTATTCTCATTTTCTTTCTTTCCTTCTTTTTTTTTACTCACCACTGTACTAACGAGGACTTTATAGTCTATTCACAGTAATCAGAATGGTTCTTCTAAAACATAGGTCAGATCATGTCCTTCCCTTTCCCCACACTCAGAATGCTTCAGTTGCTCTTCATTTCATTTAGAAAAGAAGCTGAACAAGTCCTTACTGAGTAGCTGTTTGCTTTCCTCTTCTACTCTTCCTCTCACTCTACCATACTAACTTTCTTGGTTTTCTTTTAATGCTAGTCACACTCCTACTCTGTGTGTTTGCTCTGTTCCCCATTCCTAGAATACTTTTCCCTATTCTTCAGATCACACCTTCTCAACAAGTCTTACCCTGACCGCTCTATTAAACACTTTTAACCTTCTTCAGCTCCCACATTCCCATACTTTTTATTTTACTCTACTTTTTTTTCCCATAGCACTTATCTTCTAACTTACTATGTAATTTACTTATTAAGTTTACCTGTCTTCTTAAGCTCCATGAAGGCAAGGATCTTCCCTCCTGCCCCACACAACCCCAAATATATATCCTGAGTGTCTAGAATACTGCCTGGCACATAGTAGGCACTCAAGGAATAGTTGTAGAATTGAATGTGTGAATGACTGTTTCATGCCTTTATGCTGCCTAGGGGTTGCTTTTACCCAGTGTTCATCTAGCTAATTCCTTTGGAATTCAGGTATTACCCCTTCTGTTATGACCCACTGATTTAGAGGTCCATCTTAGTATGTAGCATTTACTGTAATTGTTAAATTGTTTTTCCCTGTCCTAATAGTCTATGAAGAAGTAGTACCTCACCTTATTTGAGTGGCAGTACTCACAACATGAACCCACTAGCCAGGTGGTCTTTAGTCAAATCCTTGCCCTGTAATATCTCTACTTCATAGAATTATTAGAATTAATTGTTAATATATATGTAGCTCTTAAAAGAATGAATGTTACACGAGCTCTCATTATTTTATGATATTCCCAACAATGCTGAGGACATAGTAGCTTCTACAGAAATGTTTGCTAAATGAAGGAATTAGTTTTTTGAAAGACAGGGCATTTACTTAGCTTTAAAAAGTATTGTAATGAGGAGCTATAGTAGTTATTATGCAATGGTTTGCAGTTTTGGCTACACATGAGAATCATTTTAGGGAGTTTTAAAAATCCCATAGCCCAGTCCCTTACATAGCCCAATCAGTTAAATCAGAATCTTGGGAGGGGTTTAGAATGTGAGATTGGTGTGGAATTCAGGCATTAGGGTATTTTAATGCTTCCCATGTGATCCTAATGTGTAGCCAGGGCCAAGAATCACTGGTTTGGTGGAAAGAATACAGAATTCCTAGGAGTCAGTAAACTGAGACTTTGTTCCCAACTTTGCCTCCCACTGACGGATTTTTGGCCAGTTATTCTCAGTTTTTGAAAATGTGATCTCTAAAGTCTTTTCTAACTGAAAATTCATTGATGCTGTAGTTTTGAAGCTTAAATGAAAAGTATTTTTTCTTTTCCAGTCTCCATTAACATTGGCAACACCAAATCAGGTATCCTTGGGACAATTATGGTTAGAGCTGCTAAAATTTTACACACTGGATTTTGCTTTGGAGGAATATGTCATATGTGTACGGATACGAGATATTTTAACAAGAGAAAACAAAAACTGGCCTAAGAGGCGAATAGCCATCGAAGGTGAGATGATGATGTCTTATATTTCAGTTGGAGAATATATTTGGTGTGCCTTTAATCAATCATCTGTTTTTAAATTCAATGTTATAAATTTTATCTCTTGGCTTTGTAGCACTATATATGCCATTAGGTTTTTATATATTTAATTAATTCTGTGTCAAGTCCATTATAGTTTTATAGGATTAATACTTATTTAAAGGTTTCTTTATATATAAATAAGTATTATATCGGTTAGATTATTAGCTTATTTTATGCCTTTATTTTTATTTTTAATTATGAAAAGTATCAGAAATACAGAAAAATAGAAGTGATTATGAACACAACAGAAATACAGAAAAATAAGTTATGAACACTACATAAACATTCTTTTGAATAAATTTGTGTCATAAGATTATGTTAAATTATAATTTTAAAGTCCAGTTTTCATTGTCTTCTAAAGTATTTCATCTGTTAAATGTGGCTAAGTTAAAGGAAAATAGAACAATTGATGTTGACAAACAAGTCCCAAGAACATTAGTATCTTTGGAGATACAGAAATTAGTGGAGTGACTTCTATTTTTTAAATTAATTAATAATTTTTAAATTTTTTTTTATTTTTTTGAGACTGAGTCTCACTCTCTTGCCCGAGCTAGAGTGCTGTGGCATCAGCCTAGCTCATAGCAACCTCAAACTCCTGGTCTGAAGCAATCCTTCTGCCTCAGCTTCCTAAGTAGCTAGGACTATAGGCATGCGCCACCATGTCCGGCTCATTTTTTTTTCTCTATATTTTTAGCTGTCCAATTAACTTCTTTCTATTTTTGGTAGAGACGGGGTCTCACTCTTGCTCAGGCTGGTCTCAAACTCCTGAGCTCAAATGATCCACCCGTCTTAGCCTCCCAGAATGCTAGGTTTACAGGCGTGAGCCACTGCACCCGGCCTAGAGTGACTTCTACATTCCTAATCAAAAATTTAAATTCCACAGCATTTCACTCATATTTATAGATAGGAAATTGAATTTATGTCCATCATTTTAGTCTGGTTAGCCTATACCTTATTCTGTTTCCTTACTCTTTTTCTGGCCTTCTCTACTGTTAATTAAACCCAGAAATATTCTGAAAATATTCTGGAATAGACACTCAAACATGTACTCACATCATATACTCTCTTACACATAGTAAATAAATAAAGCCTGATGACTCCATAATTTCTCTCTTTTTTTTCCCTTCCTTCCTCCCTCCCTCCCTTTCTTTTCTTCTTCTTTTTTTTGTTACCTCTTTCTTTTTCTTTGAAAACCGGGAAAAAAGGCTTTTTAAAAAGCAGGAAAAGCTTTTTAAAGCCTATGGATTTAAATAGCAGCAAAAAGGAACAGATGCCCTAACTTTAACAATTTGAGCCTGGCCTTTAATCCTTTTACTTAATGATCTTTAGTAGCGGAGAACATATATATTGTCGTTTGGGTGGCACTTGTTCATTTTTCTTTTTCTTTTTTTATATTTAAGTATTCAAAATCTGATAAGCCCACATTTGCAGAAGTCTGTTATATGTTATTAATGATAAGGGTGCAGTTGATGTAGGACTTTTTTTTTTTTTTTTTTTTTTTAGACAGAGTCTCACTTGTTACCCAGGCTAGAGTGAGTGCCGTGGTGTCAGCCTAGCTCACAGCAACCTCAAACTCCTGGGCTCAAGCGATCCTCCTGGCTCAGCCTCCCGAGTAGCTGGGACTACAGGCATGTGCCACCATGCCCGGCTAATTTTTTTTTCTATATATATTAGTTGGCCAATTAATTTCTTTCTATTTATAGTAGAGACGAGGTCTCACTCTTGCTCAGGCTGGTTTCGAACTCCTGACCTTGAGCAATCCGCCCGTCTCGGCCTCCCAGAGAGCTAGGATTACAGGCGTGAGCCACCATGCCCGGCCGATGTAGGACTTTTGAGGGCTGCCATTTCATACTGGATCAGAGTTTAAATTTTGGTATAATTTTTACTTTTTTGGTCTTTTTTTACTTTTTTTTTTCTGCTTCTTTTTCTGATCTCACCAAAGTTAAACCTTAAAATTATTATTTTTCACATTTGAGAGTTTTAGGTTATATTTTATTTAAATTGAAAAGAGCATATAACTAACATGAAAGAATACTATGACCAGAGATGAAAATTATTAATGGGTCCTGGAGCTTTAAAATTTTTATTCAGTGACAGTGTATAGGAGTCATATTGGCATAGCTTCTTTTTCCAGCAGTTTCATTATTGAAACTTTGTTATTACTGAGTTGGCCTTAGCCATTCTCTTATTAGTTACCTTATTATTGTTCTTTTCTCTCTTTCCCTTTTAGCCCTTTATTTTATGGGAGAAACAAAGGAAAATATATTGCTATTGTGTTTTCCTTAGTTTTCAGCAACTTTCGTTGAGACCTTAGTTTAGAAAAACCTTGGGAAAATGTACTCTTCTTACAATCTAGCATTTAGGATCTATTTGTGTAAGCTTGGAAATGTAGTTTGTTAGTAGAGACTTAGCTATTGACCATTTTCTTTTTTACTAGATCCATTTTCAGTCAAGAGGAATGTTGCACGGAGCTTAAACAGCCAGCTTGTTTATGAATATGTTGTGGAGAGATTCAGGGCAGCTTATCGGTATTTTGCCTGTCCTCAGAGGAAGGGTGGAAATAAGTCTGCAGTGGACTTCAAGAAAAGAGAAAAGGGGAAAATAAGCAATAAGAAACCAATGAAGTCTGACAATATGGCAACCAACTGTTGCATTTTGCTTGGGGAAAGCACAGAAAAAATAAATGCAGAAAAAGATCAACCTGATAAATATGAAATGGAATGTACATCACAGAGATGTATTATTGACAATGACAGTTTGTTGGTAAATGAAGTAGATTTGGCTGACCGTGGACAGGAATCTTCATCTCTTTCTACCAGTGAAGGCAGTGAATTAGAACCAAAATCGGTTAAGATACAAGGTGGTTTAGCACCTTCAGAAACTTGTTTAAAAAAGGAGCTCAGCAAGTGTAATTGCTTTGATTTATCTAAGTCCCCTGACTCAGGTGAATCTGGTGGAACAGACTGCAGGGCAAATTTAGCAACGAAGAGTTCACATCAGATTGTGTGTGCCAACACATCTGCTACCTCTTGCAACTGCAAAGCTACAGAAGATGCATCTGACCTTAATGATGACGATAATCTCCCCACCCAGGAATTATATTATGTGTTTGATAAGTTTATTTTAACTTCTGGCAAGGTAGGATACAATTTGTAATCAATCTGTAAGATTTTGTTGTATGACTCTGTATTTCTTTATATTAATAGTTTTTAGATTCAGAAATGTAAGAATAGCTTGTATAGTAGTTACTATTGTTTTGGAATGATATTTCAGCATGTATTTGTCTTTTACTATTTGAATGTTTTCTATAGTTGCTTTTAAATAATATATATAAAACCCCAAAAGGTTTCATGACTCTATTACTAGTTGGTTTTCTTTAATTTCTCATATGTAAAAGAATTCATCTGATATTTTATGATAAATAATTTGGCAAAGGCAGCATATATTAATATTTTAAATTTTGCTTTTTTTTATACATATAATTGTTTTTCTTCTGAAGAGAGTACAAGGTTTATAAATTATAGTATTCTATTTTAAAGAATTGTTTTCGATGAGAGGAAAGTATAAGCATACTAAAGGTAGTTGAGGGAAACTAGGTTTGGAATCCAAAAAAATGAAGAATCCAGATTCTCTGCCACAGACTTTTGCTGGATTTTGACTTAATCCTTAAATTATAGGAGTCCCAACTTTTTTACTTTTAAAGTGGTATAATCTGAACTTTAATTTGTTAAGTCTATAGAAAATACCCTAATGAACAGAAAATAAATAATAACTGCTGTGTTAATAAAGTTTTAGCTAAGTCACATTGCTTCAGGTGCAATGCACATAATTGAAATATCATCATCTAGATGAAAAAATGGTTATACAGATCATATATAAGACAAGTAGAATGGTTTTTTTTTTTTTTTTTGAGACAGAGTCTCACTTTGTTGCCCAGGCTAGAGTGAGTGGCATGGTGTCAGCCTAGCTCACAGCAACCTCAAACTCCTGGGCTCAAGCAATCCTACTGCCTCAGCCTCCTGAGTAGCTGGGACTACAGGCATGCACCACCATGCCCGGCTAATTTTTCTATATATATTAGTTGGCCAATTAATTTCTTTCTATTTATAGTAGAGACGGGGTCTTACTCTTGCTCAGGCTGGTTTCGAACTACTGACCTCGAGCAATCCGCCCGCCTCGGCCTCCCAGCTTTTAGATTTTTAATCTCATTACTAAGCAGTATTTCTTTTTTGTTTTAAAATCTGCTCTATTGAGATATGATTGACATTCAAAAAGCTGTAGATATTTAATGTATACAATGGGATGTGTTTGGAGAGAAGTGTATACCTGGGAAATCAACATCATTAGAATGCCATAAACTTGTCCATCTCTAAAAATCCCTCCTTCTCTTTCCTTTTGTGATGAGCACTTAAGGTCTATCCTCTTAGCAAATTTAAGAATACAACACTGTTAGTCATAGGCCCTGCATTGTACAGTGGACCTCCAGAACGTATTTATTTTCATAAAACCTTGTACCCTTTGACCAACACCTCCCCGTTTTCCCCTCTCAGTAAGCAATATTTCTTCATTCTACATGAGTACACATTGGTTGCAGTTTATGTAGGTTGTAGTATTTAGGGCCTGTGGACTCTTGAAAGGATAAAAATACATGACGGATTTTTAGAAAAACTTCTTAATTATATAGCTGCAGTTTATATTTTACTTTATACTTTTTTTCTGAAGATTTAAGGTAAGTACTGTTTCTCCAATTTTTATTTTTATTAGTTATTTAACTTTTTTAGATTTTCCTGGCTAAATATGTCTTTTTTTTTTTTTTTAAAGCTTTGGAAAGCTGATATTGTGCAGTGTAGCATTACCACAAATAGGTTTCTGTGTATAATTTGCATCAGAGTTCATGGTTATGTGAATGTCCAGGCTAAAACTGGAGGAAGACACTAACTCTAGGATCTAGGTATATTACAATAAGGAAAAGAATAGTGGTCTTCTTTAACCATGTGTATTTTTTTCAGCTAGTTAGCATAAATTTTTACTGTTTTAACCACCTGTCTGGTGGTCCACTATAATACACTTAGAATGGTAGTATATGATTTGTAGTTCATTTTGTTGCTATTAAATATGCATTGTTCTTTGTATGAAGCTAATTTGCTTTGAGGTCAGTTCATAGTTTGGTTTCTTGAGTGCTAATATAATAAATTGAATGAGCTAGCAAAGTGAGGATTCTATGATTGGTTGATCTGAAGACAGAAAATTTTTGGAGTGAAATGAAAGGTGTAATTTAAAATTTCTTTATAGCCTACTTTGCTAGATCTCAGTAAAATAAAAATATAATGCATATTTCGTTTTGGGAGCTGATGAGGCTGTTTGAATTAGCCCATACCATTTGCATCTCCTAGTATTTTTTGTATTTTACATCTTCAGATAAGTTTAATCCTTGGTATCATTTTAGTGGGAAAGAAAAAGTTATTTTTTTTATATCTAACACTGCACTTCATTAACTTTTTTTTGCTTTTGTGTTTTTTACCTTCTGAAAACATAGCTTACCAGAACTGAGTTACATAAAATTTTGGATTCATGTTCTAAGTAATGAAGTCCCTCAAATGTTTATTAGATTATTAGTTTTTTTTTTTTTCACCTTTGTATAGCCGCCAACTATTGTATGCAGCATCTGCAAAAAGGATGGCCATTCAAAAAACGATTGCCCAGAGGATTTCAGGAAAATTGATCTAAAACCTCTACCACCAATGACAAACAGATTTCGAGAAATACTTGATTTAGTATGTAAAAGATGTTTTGGTAAGTTTTTTATTAGTACAACTACTGGGATTAGAGTCTTTCTTTGATATTGAATATTTATTTATTTATTTATTTATTTATTTATTTTCTAATTTAAAAGCAGGTTGCTTACATTTTGTTTTGGTAAAGGTTTTTGAATAGTTTGCAGATGCAAGCACAGATATTTACTAAATGATTACTATGTATAGGGGTCTGTCATAAATGCTTTTAAGGAGCTTAGACTGTGGATCTAAGCTAATATGGCAGCTATTAAATTTAATTCAACTAAAATTTTAAAAAATAAAAAATTAAGTTCCTCAGTTATATTAGACACATCTCAAATACTCAGTAGCTGCATGTGGCTAGTGACTATTGCATTGGACAGTCTAGATAACATTTCTGTCATTGCAGTGCTCTTGGACAACAGTGTTCTAGATGGATGTACAAGACTATGTAAATTCCCATAATTGGAAGCAGAATGTGTTACATGCTATAGTAGTGGTAAATAAAATGCAGAGTAAGCAATTAATTTTAACTAGGATGGATTAGAGCAATCAGGATTAATGATGTGGTATTTGAGATGGACTTTGAACTGCATTTTTACATTATGCATAAAAGCATACATAGAGTGTATAATTTGTTTGAAGGAATAATTACCTTTGATTTGGTGTAGGGTATAAGAAAGGCAGTAGAGAAATATAAGCCTATAAAGGTATTTTGGGGAAAGCCTTGCATGCCTTTATTCAGTAAAATATTTGTGAAGTACCTAGAATATACTTTTACTCAGCAAACATTTATGAATTACTTGCTGTGTCCAGGTAAGATAAAATTTCTGACATCATAACATTTAATGCTCCATTGTAATCCCTCCCTCTACCCTTCCTTATCCCTACCTCCTACCAGGCAACCACTTACTTGCTTTTGTCACAATAGATTAAATTCGCATTTTCTAGAGTTTTGTATAAATGGAATTACACAGAATGTACTCTTTTTGATCTGGTTTCTTTCACTCAATGTAATTATTTTGAGATTCATCCATGTTATTGTATTAGTATCCAAGATCCGAACACTAGGTGTGCTTGATATTACTGGGGTGTCATTGCTTTGGGGCCCTACACTTATGATATATGTGACCATCTTACCTATATTAAGCTAAACATAACTTTGTACTGAACTTCTAATTCTAATCCATTATAATATGGCTCATTCTAGTCTCTTTTCCTTGCTTATCTTTAAACTCCCACTCCAGTAGTGAGATACCTGGTTCCCACCATCTACCACCCACTTATTGTTCCATTTTATTACATATGTATAGCAGCACACCTTTTCCCCTACTCCATTTAGTGAAGTTGTTTCATGTTTGTAATGTAGTTAGATTCTTCTTTCACAGTCTGCATTACATCCTGAGATCCCCTGACCTCCTGGATAGGTTTTTAAAATTTGCATACATTGAGGCATATTCTTTGTGCTGCAGAATTCTGTGGGTTTTGACAAGTGCATTGTGTCATGTATTCACTATAGAGTATCACACAGAATAGTTTCACCGCCCTGAAAACAAATTTCCTGTATTTCATTTATTCAACTCCGCCTCCTCTGTAACCACTGATAATTACATTTATTTTTCAAAAGCTGATTATTAGTTTAATTCACAATAGCAAATTCTTAATAAATTACTGCTTTGTTCCTATTACTGTATTAACTTTTGGGGATGATAAAAAGACTTTGTTTGTAAGGAATGTATGGTATTATTTGGGATAATAAGATGAATTTAAATGAAATAACTAAAAAACTGAAAGAACAATATCAAAACAGGTGCTGGACCCTGGCATGTAGTTTGGAGAACTAAAGAAGTGGAATTAAGAAGAGAGCATTTAAGGCTGTGGTTAGGCAAAGCATTTTATATGGAATCTTGATCAGGCAGTTGAGGGAACTGTTAGATTTGAATGGGCCTGGTTCCTAATGTACAATATGAATATAGTCTTAACAGAGGGGAAATAAGTATGGATATGGGAGAGAGTGGAATGTATGAAGAAAACAGTATTAAATAGTTTGAAGAAGTAAAATGCATTTGTAGATATACGGAAAACGATCATGTGAAATGTACATAGATCTTCAAAAATTATTTTTCTGCTGTCCCTCTGCCCCTTCCCCAGTAACATTTATGGTTTTAAAGTCAGAGAAGTCAACAAATAATGAAGAAATTGTAAAAATTTTAAAATTTAAAAAAACTGTAAAATTTTAAGGTAAAAACTTGAAGATATTTTCCAACTCTATTTTCCTTACTTTTCTCTTCTTTTTTTTTAAACCTAGATGAGTTATCACCACCTTTCTCCGAACAACACAACAGGGAGCAAATTTTAATTGGCTTGGAAAAGTTTATTCAAAAAGAATATGATGGTATGTCATAGGTTAAAAATTGATGGCTTTTGTTACTATAGTCACGTGGTCTTGAGTTTATTTAAAAAAATGCTTATTGAATGTTCTGTGTCAGGTACTATTTTAGTTACTAGGGATACTGTGCTAATAAAAGAGGTGCCTTCATGAAGCTTATATTTCAGAGGGGGAGACAGGTAGTTGACTAATAAGTATATAATATTATATCATCAAATAGTAAATGCTGTTAAGGTGCAGGAGCTAAAATTATTGAAGTGATGGGATATTATGATACCTTTCTCTGATAAGATGGCATTTGAACAGAATCCTGAATAATATCAAGAAGCAAGTTGTATGAATATCCAAGGAGAGAACATTGTAGAGAGAACAAGACTAGATTATGTCTGGCATGTTTTGAAGACTAGCCAGGAGGTCAGTGTAGCTGGAGTGGAGTATTAGAGGTAGACTGTAATAAAAGGTGAAGTCAGAGAGGTGGCCTATGAATTCAATCCTTAGGTAGAAGGACTTTGAATTTTATTTTGAGTGCCAAATGAGAAGCTTTTAGAGGGTTTTTAGCCATTGAGTGACATGATTTGAGAGAATAGATTGTAGGGCCATAAGAGTAGAGGCAAGCAGAATATTTAGGAGGCTGTTGTATAAGTCCAGATGAGAGACAAAATATTGATATGGAAGAGTAGATGAGAAGTAGTCAGATTTGGGATATATTTTGAAGGTAGAGCCAACAGAATTTGCTGATGCATTACATGTGAGAGAAAGAAAGACATCAAGGGTGGTTTCAAAGTTTTGCTTTTAATAGTTGGGTGATGCTGTTCAACTGAGATGGCAAAGATATAGTAGGAGGAGCAGGCTTTTCACGTGAGAGTGAAGATTCAAGAGTTTCGTAGCTAAATATTTAATAAGTAAGGATAAAGAGTTGGTTTATAATCAGAATGTATTTGTACTTTAAAAAAAATGTGATCTGTTACGTGATTCCATTTTTTATTATATTTGTTAGTATATAAAGTATTGACCAAATCTAAGTCTCTATTATATTTAAACTTGTGCTCATTTTTACTTGCTGTTGAGTGTAGCTTCTTTTATGTCTTTCAATTTTCATTGAAATTTCAAGTAGGACATCAGAACTAGATAAGAGGATTAAGTTTTGAAAATACAGAATTTGTTACCTAAATGTGTAATCTATGTAAGTATTAATAGGCCAGGCACCATGGTACATGCCTATAGTCCCAGCTACTCGAGAGGCTGACATGGAGGATTGCTTGAGGCCAGAAGTTCAAGGCTGTTGTGAGCTATTATTGCATCTGTGACTAGCCACTGCACTTCAGCCTGGACAAGATAGTAAGACCCTGTCTCCAATTTTTTTTTTAAAGTAAAAAAAAGAATAGGAAGAAAAATCCGAACCTATTAAAACCTTGCTTGTTTGAAGTGGTAGCTGTTATTGAATGAGACTTGAGTGTGAAGGGATAACCCTGTCATAATTTATATCATGTGGATTAATCACTCTATTTTGGAAGAGAAGTAATTCTGTATGCTATGGTGCTATTTGTAAACCTACTTGAATTATGCCCTGAAAGAACTAATTTATTTTTAAGAGATCAGTCCCAAATATTGATAATAACTATTGGTAGTGATGTTGAGAATAAATAAAAGTAGATGGATTTATGACATAAGTCAGAAGAAACTAAAGGTTTTAGTGATTGATTGGATGTAGAGATTGAGAGAGAAATGTTAAGAATTGCACCTATATTTCTGATTTGGGCAACTGAGTGGATGATGATATAATTTGCTGAGAATAGGGATTATAGGTATAATAGGAACAATAATAGATAACTGAGTGGATGATGATGCAATTTGCTGAGAATAGGGATTATAGGAAGTTTGAGGTGAAGTTGATAGTTTAGACATGTTGAATTTATGATATTTATGGGAAAGTGGAAAAAGCAGTTGAGTATATTGGTGTGGGAACTTGGGCAAGAGATCTGGGCTTAAGATAAGTGTTTTAGAATTTCTCAGTGTATCTTCCGGTGGTAGGCAATTCAAGCCATAGAAGTGGATAAGATCACCTTGTGGTAGATAATAGAAGACTCTTTTTTCCTGCTAATTATAAGACTTTTGACTTTTGTTTTCCTTGGCTTAGAGAAGGCAAGATTGTGTTTATTTGGCTCTTCAAAGAATGGATTTGGATTTCGTGATAGTGATCTGGATATTTGTATGACCCTGGAGGGCCACGAAAATGCAGAGGTAAGAGTTAGTGCTTGGAAAGGGATATGGAAGTTTTATTTTCTCCCAATGATGAATCTGTGTTTATTTTTGTATGCAATATTGATAAAAAATGGTGTCATTCTTTGTACAAATATATTAATAATAGCAGTGTTTAGAATATAATAATATTAGCATTATCAATTTAGAAGACATTCAAATCTTAAGTAAATTTACTGTTTCAGTAATTTTATGATGTAAAAGCCATGTCATTGAGAATTACAAGTGCTTTGTAATGAATTTTGGGAAAAAGTTAATATGCCATAAAGTTGGAATTTTTTCATTTAGAACCAGTGAGAAGCTGGTGCTTCAGTTTTGTGGTAAACACCGATGATCTCACTTACTCTGTCTTCCTATATCTCTTCTGTTAGGTGATATCTTCGTATCACTATAGATAGTAAATACAGATGGTCATCTGATTTATAAATGGGTTGTGTTCTAACAGTTAATTGTAATTTTTGGCCACGTACACACAATTTTTTCCATAGAAGTAATGTTATAAATGATATTCTAGGACAGCTTTTAGAAACTCATTTTGGGTGGGAAGGGGAACTAACATTTATTGAGTTCCCAGTATACACTTTTACATACATTATCTCATTTCATTCTTACAACCACCTTCGAGGTAGGTATTATTTCCCCCATTTTACAGATGAGGAAACTGAGGCTTTGAGAGATAAACTGACTTGCCCAAGCTCACACAGCTAGTAACTGTTGGAGCCGGGATTCATACCCAGGTCTGTCTGACTCCAGAGTTATGCTCTTTCCATTGTATCTCACTGCCTCTCTGTAATTTTTTAACCCATAATGTAGCTGAATATAGTACTAATAGTATTGTAGAACCTAACCACTACTTTCTGAAATTGAAAGCTTTCTGAGTTCCACCGTGAGATGCCAGGAGCCGACCTTCCCCCAGTGCAATTTCAGCAGTGAGAATGGGTACTTATGCTTTCCTTCTCTGTATACCAGGCCTTAATAATGGGAATGAGATTGTCCAAGCTCCAGTGAAGAAAGGGACTGATTGGACAGGGAAGAAGGGTCCGAGGCCTTCCTCACAGCAACTAGAAGGAAGGGATTCTTGTAGATGCTCAGTCCTTTACCAGCATAGCTATTTGTATTTATGTTTCAAAATAAGGGACTGCTTGCAAGATTGGGGTGAGGCCAAGCTTCTGGCATCTGTAGTGGTGTCAGTATAGCCTCTGTTACTTTATAAAAGAATTCAGCAGAATAGAATGCTTTGCTGAAATAGTTCTTTCAAAAGATATTGAAATTGTTAGACCTGGAGTAAAGATGGCAGTGATGCCAGGTGGATCTTTATTTCTGGCCCTAAGAAGTTACTTCTGGTGTTACTGTCTTCCTGTTCTATAAAAAAACTGAAAAGTTGCAAATATTTTATTTCTCCTTAACTAACTTCTACTTAGTGCTATTACTTGGAAAGAGGCTGCTCTTGTCCATTTTGAAGAGCAAGAATTGAGGGAGTAGGAAATGATTTTTACCCAGGGAGAAGGTTAGAATTTTAGGTAATGTTCTGGGTAAAATTTAATGATCAGACTTCTAATCTCTAAGGGTTTGTATATTACATATTATATACTCTGTGCCATTCACATGGGAAAGTTGAAACAATAAAAAAGAATATTTTCTTTCTGATGAGCCATAATTGAAACTTTAAAATTTTAGCATAATTATATCCTTGTATAATAAAAAGAAAAATTACCTCTTTTGTTCATTTTATTGTGCATGAATTAGTAACTAATGATTTCCTTGAAATCCCCAAGTTAAGGTGCTACGGCTACTGCTCTCTTGTAGCTAAAAGGAGCTTGTCAGAGATATGTAAAAGTACCTTACTAATCACCATTGGAATTGATATTTATACCCTTCAGCTTAATCCAGTTAACTTATAATACCATTATCCTCCCTGTTCCTTGTATTATGATTATCATTATCATACCAACTCTCCTGTCTCTGGTTTTTAAAGAAGTAAGACATTTAAATTTGCAGAGGTAAGAATTTGCTTGGAGAAATAAATGCTGGTAATAATAGGAGTATCTTTCTTTTTTTCATCAACATAATAATAACAACAATAATAAATAGCTCACAGATTTAAAGTGCTTATTTTGTGCCAGACATGCTGCTGAATGCTTTATATACGTGTCTCATGTAATCCTCCCAACAACTCTATAGGGCAGGAGTTTATGATTATCTTGATTTTATAAAATACAGTGTGATGCTCAGAAGGGTTAAGGGGGTCTGGGCAGTCACACAGCTAGTCAATAAAGTATTGACTTGAATCTTGATTCAAGATTTGAATCCAAGTTTGTCTAAATTCAGACAGAGCCTATGTTCTTAATCACTATACTGCTTTGTCTTCACCAAACCCATCTCTAGTTATTTATTCACTTACTGAAAACCATATTATTCTCCTGTCTTTGAGCTTCTCAAACTTTAATTTGCATGTGAATTTCCTTGGGATCTTGTTAAATGCATATTTGGATTCAGTAGACTGGGGAGGGGCCTGAGATTCTGCATTTCTATCAAGTTTCAGATTATGCTGATACTGTGGGTCTGTGAACCACATACTTTTTAAGTAGCAAGGTTATATAGAGCTTTATGGCTAGAAATTTCAAATGCTAGTATTGAATTTCTAGATTGAAGTAGAATTTACACAAGGCCAAGTTGAGTCAGACAAACTTTAATTTATTATTTGTTTTGTTTTTTAGAAATTAAATTGTAAGGAGATAATTGAAAATTTGGCAAAAATTCTTAAGAGACATCCAGGTATGAATCTTAGATATTAGCTTTAAAACAAAAGAAAATATTTTTTAACATCATGAAAATTATTTAACTTTCTGAAGTCTTTTATTTTTTTGAATAGGTTTAAGAAACATTTTGCCTATAACTACTGCCAAAGTGCCTATTGTAAAATTTGAACACAGACGAAGTGGGTTAGAAGGCGATATCAGTTTATATAATACATTGGTAAGTTTCTTTTTTATAGGTCGGGTATAGTTACACTTTTCATTTCCAAAGTTTGCAAATTACTAACTATGGCTTTATGTTTAAAACTTTCAAATGTGAGGAGTATAATGAAAAAGTATTTTATCAGTCATCTTGATATTTCCTTCAGGTTGAAGATTAGTTTTGACTTGTTAATAGGTATTTTATGTTTTACATTTATGTATTTTTTAATTTGGCTTATATCTTTTTATCTGATTTTTAAGGTTGAATTTTAAAAATTTGAAATGCTTTCAAATGTGTAATTATTTTTTAGGCTCAACATAACACAAGAATGCTAGCTACTTATGCAGCTATTGATCCTAGAGTGCAGTATTTGGGATATACTATGAAAGTGTTTGCTAAGGTATGTATGAATAAGTTAATGATCTGCTTTGTTATATTATTCATAATAATTAAAGTGAATCATATTGATGTCAGACTTCTGAAAAGTATTGTCTCAGTTTTATCTACTTGAGCTTTAAAAAAATGATAGTGTTAAATGGGTTGAATTGATACCTATCAGGGTAGGGCGATTCTTAATCTTTTTCCTATGTGTGCTCTATTACCATGTGCAACTTACTATACTAATCAGTTTCTCAGTAGTAAAAATTTTCAGTGCAGTGATGATTTTCATCCCTAGGCATGGGAGTTGGCATACCATCCTAGTTAAGAATTTTTGCATTAGGAAACGTTTGGGTTTAGTGATAAATTTTTCTGACAAGAAAACAAAACAATACTAATAAAACCTTATGCTTCTATTATAACACTTGCTATAACATTGAATACTGTTTTCTTTTTCTTCTGCTAAATGTGTAAACTGAGGGCAGGGACCTCTGTTTCTTTAGTTCATTGTAGTGTCTGCTTTTAGTAGCTGCTCAGTAAATATTGAATTTTATGAAAGTGTTAGTAAAAGAATTTTAGTAGGGGAGAGACTTGATCAGATTTTCACTTCAGAAAGCTTACTCTGTCCAATAGGAAAGCATATTTGTTTAGATATTCCTGTTTCTGGACAGAGAGTATCTTAGAAAGGAAAAGCATGCAGGCACAAAAATACATATAAGACTTGATACAGCTACTTTTTAAGATTTACCTCACATGATACCTCCAGCATGACAGTTTTGTTATAACTACTTGGAGTTTGGTAATGAAACTAAGTGGCTTGTGTCAGAGAAATCATCCCTTTCCCTTTAGATACAGATATGAGCTAAATCCTTGCTCAAGGAAAGCAGTCTCTGAGGATTCGTTTAGGTGGGTTTTTAAAAAAAATTTAAAATTACTTAAATATCCAACATATACTCACATCTTTAGAATTCAAAAGAACTAAAGGGGTCTGTGGTGGAAAATGGAAAAATCTCCCTTCCACACCTGTCTCCTAGCCAACCAATGCCTCTTACTGGAGGCAATTAATGTTAAAAGTTCCTCTGTATCTTTTCAGAAATATATTATACTAGTATAAGCAAATTAATAGATTTCCTACCTCCTTTTTATTACAGATGTAAACACACTGAAAACATTCTTCTGTACTTTTTTTTTACTTAGCAATAGATCTTGGAGATCATTTCATATTAGTATAAGAACTTCCTTGTTCTTCTCTTTTTTTTTGTAAGAGACAGGGTCTCACTAGGTTGCCCAAGGTAGCCTTGAGCTCCTGGGCATTCCTTGTTCTTTTTGTCACGACTGCATGCTATTATATTGTGTGGATAGTTCTCAATTTTTGAAACCTGTGCTTTATTGATGAACCTAAAATTATTTCTGATTTTTGCTATTACAACAATGGTGCAATTAAAAAAAACTTATTTAGTCATGTCACACATTTTTGGCATATTTGCAGAGCATATTATTAGAATCAAATTGCTAGGTTAAAGGAAATGTGCTTTTGTAATTTTGATATTGCCAAACTATTCTTCATAGAGTCTGTACTAATTTATGCTCTCACCCACAATTTATGAGAGTGCTTCCTCCCCACTTCTTATATAAAAGTTTATTGAATTTTTAGATAGTTGTCAGTTCAATGTGTTAAAAAACTTGATGTGGCAGAGTAATCCATATTTCTACATGGAATAAGACCCTGACGTTTTATTTTCAATATTATGGCTTTTTTTTTTTTTTTTTTAGCGATGTGACATTGGAGATGCTTCCAGAGGAAGTTTATCTTCATATGCATATATCCTTATGGTGCTGTACTTTCTGCAGCAGAGAAAGCCACCTGTTATCCCTGTTCTACAGGAGGTAGGTGTTTAAGAAAAATATAAAGGAGTTTTTGTGAAAACATTGGATCTAAATGCAGTGGGGATTTTGCTCACTTCATGTCACCATGAAAGATTTTTCCATCATTAGTGACATTTTCTCCTCCATTAATGCTATAATTAAACAGTGAGCCTTGTTGAAAAATTTATTATAGAAGAATAAAGACTACCAAAAAAATATTAGATGAATGGAACCATTGAATATCTTTTGTGACATTTTTGAATTTTATAGTCTTAGAGTGCTATGGGTGATTGTGAAGTTCTTGTAGTCTGCCATGAACCCATGTATTTTATAGTCTCTTAAGATGCAAGTTTATAAGTTTCTTCTCTCTAGAGTATTTTCTGTCTTCCTGCCTGGCAAAGAAGTTTGATTTATTCTTATGCATACTTTGGTAAACCTTTCCTTGTCAAGTTGAAGGAAATTATTCCTCCTCTCTTCTAAAGTCATGTTAATTACATTGAACATAAAAATGTGCATTAACAGAAACAGATCATACTCATAGTCACTGAGAATTTTGTGACTTCTGAAGTACTTCATAGAGTCCTTTTTTGTAGCCAGTTTATATTATCTGAAATAGGGGGAAAAGGGTTCCAAATCATCCATCTGTTTCTCTTGATTCTTGGTTCAAAATGGATTTATAGACATTAGGGGGAATCCAGTTTTAATTTCTTAGAAGGGCGACTATTTTGAGGTAGGAGACAGGCATCAGAATTGTTTAGAAAATCATATATTCTGATTTCACATACAGTTTTATAGTCATGGCAAAGAAGAAAGTCATGACTGGGTATGGTAGCTCACGCCTGTAATCCTAACATTCAGGGAGGCCAGGGCGGGAGGATTGCTTGAGGCCCAGGAGTTCAAGACCAGCCTGGGCAACAGTGAGACCATGTCTCTACAAAAAATAAAACATTAGCCAGGCGTGGTAGCATGCACCTGTAGTCCCAGCTACTCGGGGGAGGCTGAGGCAGGAGGATCGCTTGTGTCTAGGAGTTTGAGGTTGCAGTGAGCTATGATGATTTCACTATACTCAAGTGGCCTGGGCAACAGAGTGAGACCCTGTCACAAAAACAAAAAAAGGAGGCTGAGTGCCGTGTCTCACACCTGTAATCCTAGCACTTTGGGGTCGAGGCAAGAGGATTCCTTGAGACTAGGAGTTCAAGACCAGCCTGAGCAAAACCCCATCTCTATCAGGAAAAAAAAAAAAAAAGAAAATCACAAAATAACAAGCCATATGGTAGGTGTTGGATGGCCTTAGTAAGCTTAAAAAAATTCCAATGAATACATGTGATTTTAGCAGCATTTCCTTCCCTCTTTTACATAAACAGTATAAGGGAAATAAAGAAATTAAATATCCTTTCCTAACAGAAAATTTTAAGTTGCTGAATCTATGTTGGGTGATATGTATGTATGTGTGTGTGTGTGTATGTTTAAAGTCTTTCTTTTTTTAGAGAAGTTTTAGGTTCACAGCAAAATTGAGAGGAGGTACAGAGATTTCCTATATACTCTCTGCACCTACACATATGTAGCTGCCCTGCCCTCATTTTTAACCCCACTGGAGTGGTACATTTGTTAAAACCGATGAGCCTTCATTGACACATTATAATCACCCAAAGTCCATAGTTTACATTAGGATTTACTCTTGGTGTTTTACATCCTATTTACATTGGACAAGTATCCATCATTATAGTACCATACAAATAATTTTTCACCTCTTTAGAAATCTTCTGTGTTCTGCCTAGTTGTATCTTCTCCCCTCAACCCCTGGCTACCACTGTCTCCATAGTTTTGCCTTTTCCACAGTTGTATAGTTGGAATCATACAGTATGTAGCCTGTTCGGATTGACTTATATCACTTAGTAATATGCCTTTAAGATTACTCCATGTCTTTTCATGACTTCATAGTTCATTTCTTTTTAATATTCAATGGTATTTCATTGTTTGGATGTACCATAGTTTATTTATCCATTTACCTACTGAAGGATATCTTGATTGCTTCCAAAGTTTTGACAACTATGAATAAAGCAACTATAAACATCTGTGTGCAGGTTTTTGTGTAGACATAGTTTTCAACTCTTTGGGGTAAATACCAAGGAGTTGGATTGCTGGATCGTATGTAAGAGTATGGTTAGTTTTGTGAGAAATTACCAATCCGTCTTCCAAAGTAGCTATACCATTTTGCATTCCTGCCAGCAATGAGTGAGAGTTCCTGTTATTCCACGTCCTCTCTAGCATTTGGTAGTGTCAGTGTTTTTTATTTTGGCTATTCTATTAGGTGTATAGTGGTATTTCATTGTTTTAATTGCATCTTCCTGTTGACATGGTGTAGAACATCTTTTCATGTGCTTATTTGCCATTTCTCTGTCCTCTTTAGTGAGGCATATGTTAAAGTCTTTGGCCCATTTTTTAAGTAGGTTGTTTTCCTACTGCTGGTAAGTTTTAAGAGTTCTTTGTGTATTTTGGATAATAGTCCTTTATCAAATGTCTTTTGCAAATATGTTCTCCCAGTCTGTGACTTTTTTCATTCTCTTGACATTGTCTGTTGCAGAGCAGAAAATTTTAATTTTAGTGAAGTCCATCTTGTCAATTATTTCTTTTATATATCTTGCCTTTGGTGTTGTATCTAAAAAATCATTACTATAATCAAAGTCAACTAGATTTTCTCTTATGTTTTTATTTTTTTTACAGCCCCTCCCTACTGTGAGAATTCTCTTATGTTGTCTTTCAGGAGTTTTCTAGTTTTGTGTTTTACATTTAGGTCTATGATCCATTTTGAGTTAATTTTTGTGAAGGGTGTAAGGTCTATGTCCAGATGCACTTTTTTTTGCATGTGGATGTCGTCCAATTATTTCCACACCATTTATTGAAAAGACTTATTGCTCCATTGTATTGTCTTTGCTCTTTTATCAAATATCAGTCTACTATATTTATGTGAGTCTATTTTTGGATTCTCTTTTCTGTTCCACTGATCTATTTATCTATTCTTCTACTAATATTTGATTATGATAGCTTTATAGTAAGTCTTGAAGTTGGATTGTTTCAGCCTTCCAACTTTGTTTTCCTTCAGTATCATGTTGGCTATTCTGGGTCTTTTGTCTTTATAAACTTAGAATCAGTTTGTAAATATGCACAAAATAACTTGTGGGATTTTAACTGGGATTGCATTGAATCTGTAGATAAAGTTGGGAAGAACTGACATCTTGACAATATTAAGCCTTCCTATCCATGAATATAGAATATCCATCCATTTATTTCATTCTTCTTTGACTATAAGAGTTTTGTAGTTTTACTCATGTAGATGTTGTATGTATTTTGTTAGATTTATACCTAGATATTTCATTTTTTGGTGCAATGTAAATGGTATTGTGTTTTTAACTTCAGGTTCTACTTATTCATTGCTTGTATATAGAAAAGCGATTGCATTTTGTATATCTTGTGTCCTGAAAACTTGCTTTAGTTGCTTATTCATGCTTGGAGTATTTTTTGTCAGTTCTTTTAGGTTTTTTATATAGATGATACTTCACCCTATGCATCTCCTCATCTGTATCTATTGCAATATCCTTTATGATCATCTATATAGAAAACCTAAAAGAATATCTTCTATATAGATGAGAAGATGCATAGAGTGAAGTATCATCTATATAGAAAACCTAAAAGAATTGACAAAAAATACTCCAAGCATGAATAAGCAACTAAAGCAAGTTTTCAGGACACAAGATATACAAAATGCAATTGCTTTTCTATATGCAAGCAATGAATAAGTAGAACCTGAAGTTAAAAACACAATACCATTTACATTGTACCAAAAAATGAAATTACTGTCCCATCAAAAATGAAAAGGGCCATGGAGCCTACTTTATCTAGTAGTTTTAAATTGTAGTCTGGTTTAACTATATCCTGGGTGTGTGTGTGTGTGTTTGTGCATTCGTGTGTTTGTGGGGAAGGGGGAGCTACATAAAGAAAAGGTGTGGTATGTTTTCTCCACACAGGCTTCTCTTAGAGTGCCTCTGTTTTTACGTTTTACATATTGACCTTCCAAGAAGATTCCACTTTAGGAAAGGGTTCTGTACCTTAAAAATAAAATTTGTAAACTATGACTAATTTATGTAATCTCTTATTTTTCACTGGGAAAACTGAGGACTTAGAGGGATAATAGTTTTGCCCAGAATCACTATTATGCAGGACTGAGGCCAGAAATGAGGTCTTCTGGCTGTGTACCTATTGTACCTTTCTACTTTATTGCATCTCTTTCTTAAACCTCCTTTAGAATAAAAGTCTCAAAATTACTTGTGAAGGTCAGTCGTGCCTATACAGTCATCTTTCGGGATACTTTTTTTCCTTGTAAAATAGTATTTCTTTTCCCCTTTTTCCCTTCTGTCCCTAGGACAGTGAATTATGTATTATTCATAATTAATAATGAAGATTTTATAATCTGTACCAAGATGTCAGGGAAAGCTACCTAATTTTCCATTAAAAAATCAATGTCTGAGTGCTTTTCAGACTTATCTGATATAGATAAATGATTAAATGTACTAAAATCAAAACAGGTCTGTTGATTTCCTGTGGGCACACAATCAATAGGTATTATCTATTGTGCATTTGTACATCTGTGATCCTTTGATGAAACTTCCATTTTCATTTTCTTTTTTTTTTAGTTTTGCTTCATTAATCTTGGACTGGATGTGTTTTGATAGGCCAAATAGGTAACATCAAATAACATCAAATATATCATATCATTTGGAGTCTGATGCTCTTAAGATATCCTTTTCCAGCTTTGGTCTTTCAGATACATTTTATTCATTAATTACTTGGCATCAAATTACACCATCCTGACTTGTTTTTGGAAGAAGTATTTCAGTATGTCTTTTATAGGTAAATTATAAAATGATATAAGAGTATTTGGGCATTTGGGTTGGATAACTTGAAATCTAATAATGCAATTACATTTCTTTTTTGCAGATCTTTGATGGAAAACAGATTCCACAGAGAATGGTTGATGGATGGAATGCTTTTTTCTTTGATAAAACAGAAGAACTGGTAATTTTTAAATAGTCTTTATGTTATAGAATGCTCACTGATAACTTGTTTAGGATTTGCAAAATTTAATAATTTTACTTGAATTTGCTGTTCATATTTTGGATGGTACTATATAGTTGTTTCTCTTTTCTTTTTTACTTACTTGTAGAAAAAACGTTTACCTTCACTTGGAAAGAACACAGAATCATTAGGAGAGCTTTGGTTGGGACTGCTTCGCTTCTATACTGAAGAGTTTGATTTTAAGGAGTATGTAATTAGCATTCGGCAGAAAAAGCTATTAACAACTTTTGAGAAGCAGTGGACATCCAAGTGCATTGCGATTGAAGGTAATCATTTAAGCTGTTATTAATCAGGAACAAAACTAAAATTTGACCAAGGACATTTAGGAGAAAACTAGAACACATTAGGATTTGGAACATTCTTCCTCTTAATTTTATTTAAAAATTTTTAGAAATTTTACTATTTAGAGATGCCCACTGGACTTGAACTCCTGGGCTAAAGCAATCCTCCTACCTCAGCCTCCTGAGTAGGTGGGACTACAATACAGGTGCATGCCAGTATGCTTGGCTTTCTTCCTCTTGATTTTTTTCAGTTTTCATCCCTTTGTCTATAATTTTAAAAGAATAACTTGTTGAATTGAATAGTCTGAGTCAGTGTATATAGTATTAGACTCCAGTTATGATTACTAAGTATATTTTACAATGAACAAAATTCTTTATTTAAAAAATCATATATTTCTTTTCCAGATCCTTTTGACTTGAATCATAACCTTGGTGCTGGAGTTTCTAGAAAAAGTAAGTATCAAATATAGAGATTCCCTCCTTTTAAAGCTCTGACACACTAATGTCTGCATCTTTTTTGTTTTCTTCTTTCTTTAATAGTGACCAATTTCATCATGAAGGCATTTATCAATGGAAGGAAACTTTTTGGTACCCCTTTTTATCCACTCATTGGCAGAGAAGCTGTAAGTCTACATTATTTGAATTCTGAATCTTTTTCTTTTAGAATTTTTTTTTTTTATGGTACAGGGAACTTTATCCTGTTTCCAAGTTGATGTTAGGGAAAAAGATGGTCATAGCTCCCTATATTTTTTTCTTACTGCACTTAATAGTCCATAATGAGATATATTTTTTATTAGATTTTATTTGTTTAATCTATTTGTTAAATTCAATCTCTTCCACTAGACTGTGAGTTCCCTGAGGACAGGATCCAATGTCATAAGGTTTACCTTTATATCTTCAGTGCATATCAGAGTGTCTGGAGCACTGGTTATACAAAATAAGCATTTGTTGAGTGAGTGAGAGTAGATTCAAGACTCAAGATTGTTGAATTTTAGGTGCTGCTCACTGTTTCTCTTACATCTCTAGAAATCTTGATGAAAATATACACAGAGAAGATAAAACCAGAGAAATACTTTATTATTTAATAAAATACTTATATTAGTATTATAAATTATTCTCTAATTTTTGTGTAGCATTGCTGAGCTGAATTATTATTTTTAAAAAATTTTTAAAATTTTCTCTATTATATTTTTCTTCTCCAGTAATTATTTCTTCACTAGGTGAGCTGAATTAGATGGCACGGAACTGAGAGGTTTCCTTTTGCCTGAATGGAGTGGCATACTGTTGCACATTCTTCCTGGTCTCTTGTTTTTGCTTGCTTTTCTGGTGATTAGGAAGACTATAAGAGGTCTCAGTTTCAGAACAAGAGACTTCTAAGAGAAGAAATCTCAAGAGAGAAAAACCATGTGTTTACTGTGGTATAATGAATGTCCTTAAACTCAGTTCAGTATATTTTCAGGACTCTTCTTTCTTAGAGGCTGAGAAAAGCAGAGAGAAGTCTGGATCTTTTTTCATTTGGAGCACTGGTCTTAGATATTTTTGATTTTCTGGGTGTTAGTAATTATAATGGAGAGAAATAAAATAACAGTAAAATTTGAAACAACACAAAAACCACATTAGAACAAATGACTATAAAAGGAAAACCTAACAATAATTTTACAATCATGTTAATTGAAATAGCAATAAATGAAAAGCAGAGTCAATTAAAAACAAATATGTTAAAAACCAGCACCCCATGTACTCACCAGCAAGTTGGTATTAACGGATCAACACCTGAGTGGACATATAGGAGTAACATTTATCGGGTGTTGGAAGGGTGGGAGGGAGGAGGAGGGGATGAGTATATACAACCACAACGAGTAAGATGTGCAACATTTCGGGGATGGACACACTTGAAGCTCTTACTTGAGGGAGGAGGGGAGGCATGGACAATATATGTAACCTTAACACTTATATCCCCATAATACGCTAAAATAAAAACAAAAACAAACAAACAAAAAACAAATATGTTGATATACTGATAAAGCATTTTACCTGAAAATTGTGGGAATTCCAACTATTTTTGCGTATATGTGCATATGTTCAGTAGGAACACAGTAATTTTGCACGCAGTCAGACTTTTTAGTAGAATGCTGAATTAGAGCCCTCAGTAAATGGAAATGTGCTAATTTTAGTTTATGAATACAAATATTCCATAATTCTTAATAACTCCATATGTTATAATAAGTAGTCCTCAATTACATATAGATATCAAAGTCTTTGGTCTTCAGTGTCATTTGAGGCCTAGCAGAAGGGATCCATGAGCCTACTAATGATTTTTTGATCTACTTTATTCTCTTTTGAAAGTCAGTGTTCAGTATTCCATAGCTTGGATATACTAGTTTATTTAACTATTTTCTTTTGATGAACATTTATTTAGGTTATCGTCACTATATTAGTGTTATAACTTGTACAGGTTGAGCCTCCCAAATCACAATCTGAAATACTCCAAAATCTAAAACTTTTTGGGTGGTGACATGACCTTCAAAGGAAATGCTTATTGGAACATTTCAGATTTTGGATTTTGGGATATTTTTGGATACTCAAGCAGAAGGTATATTGCATATATTCCAAAATCTAAAAAAACAAACTCCAAAACACTTCTGATCCTAAGCATTTTGGATAAGGGATACTTAACCTGTATTATAGAAAATATTCTTATACATAGTCTTTCATGTTTATACTTCATACCTATTTCAGTCCTAGGTACTGGGGATTATAATAGCATATAAGATAAATGTGTTTTATTCTTATACTAATGAAAGATAAAGAGAAGTATATTTCCTATTCTTTCACTTTTCTTGTTCCCTCAAATATTTCCACTTCAACTATTTTTGTACATCATATGTCCTCACATATGTTGACCTATTTTGTCCCTATTCTTCAGGTATCTTCTTTCTTCATTTTTCTTCTCCATTTGACTTTTATTCCCTGTTTATTTTAGATTCCTTTGTGCCACTCTCCCTCCTGTGCACTATTATGTGTTCAACCTTACGTGAATTCATGTGCCTGTGCTTGGGTCCTACTTTTTACCTCCACCCTCTTCACTCTTAGTAGATCCTTGAACTCTAAGATAATAGATATTATCAGATAAATATTCCTTCACCTTTCTGCCACCAGATCTATAAATCTATCTGCATCTGCTGATCTTTTATCAAAGACTAGTCCTTCATTTGCACTCTGGATCTCTACTCTGGATCTTCAACCTCTTCATCTGTGAAAACAACTTTTTGTTTTTAATTTTTAAATAATTTTTATAGATACATAATAGTTGTGCATATTTATAGGATACATGTGATATTTTGTTTTTTCCCAATAGATTTAGAGGGTACAAGTGGTTTTTTTGGTTACATGGATGAATTGTATAGTGGTAATGTCTGGGCTTTTAGTGTACCTGTCGCCCGAATAGTGTACAATACATTGTACCTAACAGGTAATTTTTCTTCCCTCATCCCACATCCACCCTCCCTGCTTCTGAGTCACCAGTAGCCATTGTACCATTCTGTATACCCCTACTTACCTATAGCTTAGCTCTCACTTATATGTGAGAACATGTGATATCTGGTTTCTTGTTCCTCAGTTACTTCACTTAGTATCATGTGAAAACATTTTCAAAGATGAAATACATAAAATGTAATTACAGATCAGCATTTATAGATGAACATTTACCATCAGTTTTAATTATAGGGAGCATTAACTTTAACCCCAATTAAGTGAACTATTATCTACCCAAAAAAGAATTCCATTCTTCTCATTAGTAAACTTATATTACAAAAAATTATATACAATTATTATTATTAGCATATTTCTGATTTCTTCAATAATAAGAGAAAAGTAGATTCAAGAGATGTTTTCAGTAATAGAATAGATACAACTTAGTGATTACTTACACGTGCTGAGTGAAGGAGAACAAGTTCAGGATGATTCCTTGATTTCTGCCTTAAGCATGTGAGTGAATTGAGAAAGGCCTTTATTTTATCCTGGCAGAAAATGCGATGATGATTTTTAATTAGCTACATTGGTTTATCAATAGTATATGTGAAGAAGTAGCTCTCTCATCTTTTTTTAAAAAACAGCTTTATTGACATAATGTACATAATGTAATTCACATAATGTACAATTCATTGTGCAATTCAGTGAGTTTTAGTATAGTCAAAGGATTGTGCAACCATCACCATAATTTAACTTTAAAATTAAAACATTTTCATTTTCACTAAAAGAAACCTCTTTCCCCTTAGCAGGCAGTCCTCATTCCCTCTATTCTCTTCTCCCCAAACTACTAATCTACTTTTTTTATCTTTATAGATATGTCTGTACTGGACATTTAATATAAATGGAATCATATAATATGTAGCCTTTTAGAACTGGCTTCTTTTACTTAGCGTAATATTTTCAAGGTTCATCCATGCTGAAGCATGTATCAGTACTTCATTCCTGTTCATGGCTAAATAATATTCCTTTGTACTGATATACTGCATTTTATTATCCATTGATCAGTTATTGGATATTTGGGTTGTTTCTACTTTTTGGCTATTATGAATAATAGTGATGTGAATGTCTGTTTACAAATTTTTGTGTGACTGCATGCTTTCATTTCTCTTGGTATGTACCTAATAGTGGAATTGCTACATTATTTTGATAAATTTTATCTTTAAATTTTTGAGGAATTGTGGTACTGTTTTCTAATGTGGCTATACTAGTTGACATTCTCACTAGCAATATATGTGGTTTCCAGTTTTTCCATATCTTTCTTCACCAATAACTTGTTATTATCTTTTTAAATTATAGCCATAGATAGATTTGAAGATTATAGCTATAGACAGATTTGAAGACAGCTAAGTGGACATATTCTCTTGCCTTCTAGTAGGATGGATACCGTTAGGACCAACAGCCTTTGTGACAATGCAAAACTGAGCTAAAGCTTAGAAGGATAAGCAAGGTGCTAAGATAAAGCAAAAATTAGCCTGGTTGGGAAAATTATTTACTTCTTACTAGTTCCCTATCCTCTCTTTGGGTCTGCTCCACTTTATATAAGAAATGGTTTATGACTGGGTGTGGTGGCTCATGCCTGTAATGCTAGCACTCTGGGAGGCCGAGGCGAGAGGATCGTTTGAGATCAGGTGTTCCAGACCAGCCTGAGCAAGAGCGAGATCCCGTCTCTACTAAAAATAGAAAAAATTAGCCAGGTGTGGTGGTGCATGTCTGTAGTCCCAGCTACTCAGGAGGCTGAGGCAGGAGGATTGCTTGAGCCCAGGAATTTGAGGCTGCAGTGAGCTATGATGATGCCACTGCACCATAGCCAGGGTGACACAGTATGAGACTCTGTTTCAAAAAACATTTTTTTATCTTCCAAAATAGCGATATGCAAATTCAATTATATTTGAAATAAACCAGATGATTTCTTTATTTTTTAAATTTACTTTTATATTTTTAAATTTTAGAGATGAGGTGTCATTATGTTGCCCAGGCTGGAGTGTAATGGCTATTCACAGGCATGATCATAGCACACTACAGCCTTGCCTGAAACTCCTGGCCTCAAGCGGTCCTCCCACCTCAGCCTTCCAAGTAGCTGGGACTACAGTTGCCTACCACCACATCCAGCAGGATTATTTTATTGACATAAAGCTCTTTTTAACAGAATAATTCTTTTCCAGAAGGGGTGTGGTATAGCAGAAAGCATGAGCTTTGTAGTCAGACAGACTTAGCTCTAAATCTTTTGTCAGAGACTTAACCTGCTTTTTTATTATAGTATGTCAGATGACTTGAACTCTCTGAAACTCAGTTTCCTCATCTATAAAATGAGAATGAAAATAGTATCTATTTTATTGAGATTTTCTCATTCATCTGTAGCATCTCTGTGTAATATAAATGTGGTTATAAAGTGGTTAGTTTTATTAACAACTGTATTATTATGATGATTCTCAATCTTATTTTCATATGGTTTGGTTACAGTGACAAATTTGTTGATATTATTTCCTTTTTTTTTTTTAAACCATGTTTGCATCTTGGTATCCTTTCCATTTGGATTCAAAAGTTTTAGAGTGATTTTTTTCTATTAATAGTAAAATTGCATTTTGTCTCTAGGAATACTTCTTTGATTCCAGAGTACTAACAGATGGAGAACTGGCTCCCAATGATCGATGTTGCCGTGTGTGTGGAAAAATAGGCCACTACATGAAAGACTGCCCTAAAAGGAAAAGGTTGGCAAATGATTACATATCAACATTACAGGGAAAATAGATGTGAGGCAGATTTGTAGCTGCAATTGTGTTTAGAAATGTTTAAGTGAGAAAGTCCAGGGCTTTAAATTGGACCTAAGGTAAATGTTCATTTCAGTGGAATTTTGTAATAGAGTGAAATTTGTTTGTGGTATAATACTGTCCTGTAATATTTATTTTTTCATTCATTAATTCATTTTTTTAATTGAAGAAGCATTTATTGCCACCTACTGTGTGTTGGGAACTGTATTAAGAGCTAAGGGAAAAAAAATGACCAAGACATGGAGTTCTTGCTGAGGACGTCAGTCATACAAACCAATAATTAAAATATAATCAACTGAATCCTTGAGATAAATCAACTGAGATAAAAGCTATGAGCTATACCTGTATATTATATACCTTGAGGAATATATATCTTTTATTCCTCTTCAAAATATATCTATGGATCATACTGTTCTGGGTTCTACATGCAATATTTAATAGGTCAGGAAAGTCCCATCTTTTTATCATCAAGTCTGGCCTTATAGAAAAACTTGGAACTTTTCAGACAGAACAAATTCCTAGTTTTCATCACTGCTGTTTACTGACTATTAAATTTAGGTAAGGCACTTACCTTCCCTAAGCCTCAGTTTCTTCTTTAAAATTAGATAATAAATATCAGCCTTTAAGGATTGTTAGAGGTTTAAGATTTGATATTTAAAGAATTTAAAATATATTGTATTACAAAACTATTGGAATACCCAGTTTCTGTCAAATAAGTAGGTGTGCTATAAATGTGAGTTTTCTTGCCTTAAAAAAGATGCATGACATAGTGGGCATGTTAGTCCCTTTGTTATTGTGAGACTCTTGTATAGTTTAGTTTGTTCTGTTACTCAGTTACAAGTCCCTAGCCCCGCATTATTGGTATCAGCAGTTTACTCTTTAGACTAAAGAAGAAAGACAGTGAAGAAGAGAAGGAAGGGAATGAAGAGGAGAAAGACTCCCGAGACCTTGACCCACGAGACCTCCACGACACTCGAGACTTTAGAGACCCCAGAGACCTTAGATGTTTTATATGTGGAGATGCAGGACACGTACGAAGGGAGTGTCCAGAGGTCAAGTTGGCACGTCAGAGGAATAGCAGTGTGGCAGGTAAATAGAAAAGGCCAAAAATAGTTTCTGGTGGAAATGAAATCATTCACATTAATATTATGCTAAGAACACTGATTCTTCTCTGTCCCAAACCTACTTGTATTAATTTGGGCCTTACAATTTTTTAAAGAGACAAAATTTAGACAGGCTTTTACTTTGGACAGTTGTTGGATATGTTCATTATCAAGGTCTCCATAGTCTGTTGTATTCAATTAACTCCCTCTAAGTATTCTTTGGATTTGAGTCAGACTCTTCATCTCTCACTATTTATATAACATTCTTTTTTTTTTTTTTTTCAGTAGGCAGTTGTTGGAAGAATATATAACATTCTTTACAAGAGATTTTTTTCCTGGAAATATATTGGAGAAATAATATTAATAGTTCTTTCCACTGCTACTGTGAGAGAGGGAGACCTATTCCTATTGTATTTCACAAGAAATTTTAAAAATTAGATAGTAAGCTAAATAAGAGATTATTGAAAGAAAATATAGAGTATTTTAGAAGTATGATTTGAAGTTACTCAAATTTTTACTGCAGAAAGTATTTTATTAAATAAACATTTTGCCTCCTTTAGAAAGTCACTGTGGCATTGTTTTTATTTCATTCTAGAATCAGTGTATTTTTTTATCGATCTGTAGGATTGAAAAATGCCTTTTTTAAAAAACTTAGTTTTGAAGGGGCTGGGCCACTCCTCCCATGGCATAACTGCTCCTATAACCCCTCCCTGCCTCTCAGAAAATTTAAAAAGCAAACACACAAAAAACTAGTTGTTACAAGTTCTTCACTAATATAGTCGTAGTTTAAAGGTCCTGGTTTATAAAAAAAATTAAGAAGGGAGTTTACTGATTGTCATTTCTCTGCTACTTTATCTGTTGATTTTCTTTGTGATGTCTTCTCTTAGCAGCCCAGCTGGTCCGCAACCTTGTAAATGCTCAACAGGTGGCTGGTTCAGCCCAGCAACAGGGTGATCAGTCCATAAGGACTAGACAGTCCTCAGAATGTGTAAGTACTCTGCTTGTGAATGGGTTAGTCTTGACAGGAAGATGGCACTATTTTTGATGAGGAATAGAGGTTTATCTCTCAGACTGGCAAATATAATATTCCAGATTACATAGTGCTTTGTAGAGGTGCTTTGCTAGACTGGTATGGTGGAATGATCATTACTTTTGGAGTAATGTAGATCTGGGTTTCTATCTATGGGCAAGCTACTTAATTTACATGAGCCCACTTCCTCATTTGTAAAATAACAGCTACCTAATAAGATAGATTAAAATAAAGTAATGACTTTGAGGTTTCAGGCTTTGCCTTATAGAAACATATCAGTACCAGTAATAAAAATAGACATAAAAATTGAGATGTATGCGGAGTTTAATGCTCTTAGGGCGATGTGTACACTTCATTTTGCTTGCATAAAACTTTTGTGTATCTTATCATAGCTTGACGTATGGCTACCTAGTGAAATGTATCCTGTAAAAAACAGAATATTAAATTAGAATTCAGGCTTAGAAGTTTTATATTAAGTTTGCTGAGTTCTTAATCTTTGTTCTAATCTGTATTTACTTTGCACTTCTTAATTAATTCAATATTAATTGAGTGCTTACTCTAAACCTGACACTGTTTCAGTGCTTCACACTTATTATCAAATTTAATCCTTTGGGTGGCCCTGCGAAGTGATAGGTATTGTATGATTAAATTTTACAAATTGGGAAGGTGAGAATAGAAGATTATAAAGATTCAAACCAGCTCTTCATAGCTTCAAAGTTGTTAACTATTAAACATGCTAAATCTCATATGATTTGTGTTTTAGTATTTGAAGAGTGATATTAGGGAGAGTCTTGGAAAAACATTTAGAAAGTTCCCCACCCCACTCCAAACATTGAGTACATACTATGTGCTGATACTTTCATAAATATTATATAACAATAATAACATTTATTGTAGTTAACATTTGTTGAGTATAAACTGTGCTATACATGCATTCTTCCTGTCATTATAAACTATTTCAAAAATACAAAAACATTTAGAAATAATAAACCTCATATATCACCTCCAGGCTTTAATGATTTTTAACATTTTAATTTTTCTTTTATTAAAAGATGACTCACCATTGAAGTCATCTTCAACGGTGATGATGCACCCCTGTGCATCCCTCTTAGATCCCATCCCTATCTTAAAATCTTCCTGCTATCTTTTCCTGCTACAAAAATGTATCTGCATTTGGTGTTTGTGTTTTCCACATGCATTGTTTAGTTAATCTTCACAAAAACATATGAGGTAAATTCTGTTATTATTTATACTATACTTTACAGGTGAAGAAACTGAGATTTAAGTTCTTGCCTAAGGTCAATAGACACTTGGAATCAGAACTGGAACCCTCAGGCTCTCTATCTCTAAAACGTACACTCTGACCACTTTTCTGTGCTTCCCTAATTTTTGTTCTCTGCCTTTAGCCACCTGACTTTTCTCTCACCTGACCTTTTGTTAAGAATCTATCTAATGGACATCACTATTCTGATGTCTAACAAAGCACCTCAGCTTGTCTAGGATATAGTTTATACTTCTCTCCATACTTGCTCCCCTGACATGCCTCTTGTGTTTTCCATCTCATTGAATGATCCCACTATCTGCCTAGCTTCCAAAACTTTTCCCTCTCCTTCAACCTGTATATCCATTCACTAAATCCTATTATTTCTACCCTTAACAAAAATAGCTTACAGCCATTTGCTTCCTTCTCTGTATTATATTTTTTGAGCCTAGGCTACTATAATCTCAGGACTAGTTATAGCTGTGTCCTAATCAGTCCTAACAATTTTCTATGTTATTATTCTTATGCCAGAATAATTTTTCTAAAATGCAGATTGATCATGTTCCTAACAAGGTAAAAATCCTTCACTGATTGACCACTACCCTTAGGATGTAGTATAAATTACAAGGCTTATAAGATCCTTCATTATTTTGCCCCTATTTAGCTCTTCAGCCTCAGATCTACCATTCCCCTGCCATTGTACTCCAGCAATATTAAACTTTCAGATTGCAATTACTTTTTAAAAGGCCATGTATTTTCATGTCTGTAGACCTTCAGTCATATTGTTTCTGCTGTCTGGAGCACTCTTCCTCTTATCTCTGCCTTCTTACAGCAGACTAATTTCTGTTTACACTTGAGTCTTAGCTTAAAGGTCACTTTCTCTGAGAAGCCTTCCTTGATCTGCACTTTTCTTGATCTTATTTTCCCTCCTTCTCCCAAAGTTACTTTAGGTGTTTCTCCTCTGGGATTTCATTATACAGTTGACCCTTGAATAACACTGGTTCGAACTGCAGGGGGCCTCTTACAGGTGGATTTAACCTCCCAACCAGTTGTGGATGGAAAATAACTATATTCTCAGGATGTGAAACCCATGTATTTGGAGGGTCAACTTTTCATATAGGTGGGTTCCACAGGCCCAACTGCAGAGGCTAGAGTATGTATGGATTTTGGTATATGTGGGCATCCTGGAACCAATCCCCCGCATATACTGAAGGACAACTGTACACTATACATTATACATTCTTTATCACAGTAGTCATACTTTATTGTGATTGCTTTTGAAATCTTTATCTGTTTTCCTCCATATCCCCCATAAATGTTAAGCTTTATGAGGGCATACATGTTAGTGTTGTTTTTAGTACCTAGAATAAGGTCCAGAACATAATTGACAATAAGTACCTGTTGAGGGACTGAATGAAAGTGACTGAGATATTTAGATGAAAGTTTCTATTTCACAATGGGAAATATATGTTCTATGTGAAGGGCTCTCTTTTCTTTGGATAATAAAAAGGTTTGTATGGCAAACACAATGATGAGGGGGTAGTGCCTCCTTCATCTTATGTGAAGAATTCTACTTTCATGTAAAATGAGGTTTTTATCATTATTTGTTATTATATACATCATAGAATTCTGTATTAATTTTGTATTTTGATCTCTCCTTTTATAAAATTAAGATGATTATAAATTAATTTTAAAATGTACATTTTTTTCTCTGCAGTCTGATTCACCATCTTATTCTCCTCAACCCCAGCCATTTCCACAGACCTCTTCCCAGTCAGCTGCTATTACTCAGCCTCCATCTCAGCCAGGATCCCAACCTAAACTTGGCCCACCTCAACAAGGAGCCCAGCCCCCCCATCAGGTCCAGTTGCCTATGTATAACTTTCCCCAGTCACCACCAGCTCAGTATTCTCCCATGCACAATATGGGATTGTTGCCAATGCACCCTCTCCAGATCCCTGCCCCATCCTGGCCCATCCATGGTCCAGTGATCCACTCTGCACCAGGCAGTGCCCCCAGCAATATTGGCTTGAATGATCCCAGCATCATCTTTGCACAGCCTGCTGCCAGACCTGTGGCAATTCCTAGCTCCTCTCACGATGGACACTGGCCTCGTACTGTGGCTCCAAATTCCTTGGTGAACAACGGTGCAGTGGGAAATTCAGGTAATCTTCCTTTTCTTCTTCTGTATCTGTCTGTAGAAAGATTGTGTGATGTTATTACTGGTTGAACCTGGGGAGATAGGGAAGGCAAGCAATATTTGTGGAAGGGCAGTATGGGATTAAGATGAAGATTAAGAGTATGTGTTCTGCCAGGCATGGTGGCTCACGCCTGTAATCCTAGCACTCTGGGAGGCCGAGGCGGGCGGATCGTTTGAGTTCAGGAGTTCGAAACCAACCTGAGCAAGAGCGAGACCCCGTCTCTACTATAAATAGAAAGAAATTAATTGGCCAACTAATATATATAGAAAAAATTAGCCGGGCATGGTGGCACATGCCTGTATTCCCAGCTACTCGGGAGGCTGAGGCAGAAGGATCGCTTGAGCCCAGGAGTTTGAGGTTGCTGTGAGCTAGGCTGACGCCACGGCACTCACTCTAGCCTGGGCAACAAAGTGAGACTCTGTCTCAAAGAAAAAGAGTATGTGTTCTGGATTCAGACTGCCTGGATTTGAATCCTGGCTCTGCCACTTATTGTATAGCCCTGGATAATTAATCTCTTTGTGTATTGGTTTCATCTGTAAAATAGGAATATTAATAGCATCTAATATATAGATATGTTATGGATATTAAATGAGGTAAGGTACATAAATGTTAGCTATTATGATTTTTAATTTTCACTGTCACCCTGCTTGGTATAGATATTATTATCACTCTTTTTTTTTTTTTTTGAGACAGGGTCTCACTCTGGGTTGGAGGTGCAGTGGCATCATAGCTCACTGCAACCTCAAACTCCTGGGTTCAAACAGTTCTCCCACCTCAGCCTCCCAGGTAACTGGGGCTGTAAGTGTGCACCACCATGCATGGCTAGTTTTTCTATTTTTTGTAGAGACTGGGTCTTGCTCTTGCTCAGGCTGGTCTGGAACTCCTGACCTCAAGCAATCCTCTTGCCTTGGCCTCCCAGAGTGCTAGGATTACAGACATGAGCCACCTGGCCTGGCCAGTGCTCATTTTATAGTTGATGCAATTTTAAAGGGTTAAGTAACTTAATTATCATACTGTCATAATTTATAATGGTAGATCCAAATTTTAAACTAACTTCTTTCTTCAAAACCTGGGTGTTCTGTGCCCTAGACTCTATTATTTCCCAGTAAGGAGCAATGCTTTAAAAAGTAAGAGATATTAATAGCAATAGCATTAAATATAATAGTTTTTCCTGATATCCAAGTAAGACATAATTCATTATTGAACATTTGAGAAATAAAATCATCTATCATCTTAATTCCTAGATATAACTACTAAGTAATCCTTTGTTATATTACCATACAGTAATTTTTTTTTTTTTTTTTTTTTTTGAGACAGAGTCTTGCTCTGTTGCCAGGCTAGAGTGCCGTGGCATCAGCCCAGCTCACATCAACCTCAAACTATTGGGCTCAAGCAATCCTTCTACCTCAGCCTCCTGAGTAGCTGGGACTACAGGCATGTTCCAACATGCCCAGCTAATTTTTTCTATATAGATTTTTAGTTGTCAGGCTAATTTCTTTCTATTTTTAGTAGAGGTGGGGTCTCACTCTTGTGCAGGCTGATCTTGAACTCCTGACCGCAAGTGATCTTCCTGCCTCGGCCTCCAGTCATTTTTTTAATATTTGCCTATTTAAAAAATAGTTGGTATATGCCATAAGTCTAGTTTTTATCCAGCTTCTTATTAAATTTTTTTTAATTCACCACTGGTCAGAAGGGAAAATTTTTATTTTATTTATTGTTCTAGAGATAGGATCTCCCTGTGTTGGCCAGGCTGCATTGCAGTGGCTAACTCATAGACATCATTATAGCATACTACAGCCTTGAAATTCTAACCTCAGGTGATCTTCCTGCTTCAGCCTCCTGAGTAGCTGGGACTACAGGCACATATCACCTCACCTGTTTTGTATCCATCTTTAGTGATACTTATTTTTATTTTAAAAACTTATATAAATTTTGAAATATACAAAAGAAAGAGTAAAGTATAATGAATTCCTACCCCCTTGCCAGCATTACCCAATTTTAACAGTTATCAGTGATTTGCTATTTGCTATTCTTGTATCTAATCCCTTCCTACCACTTAAAAAAATTCTGGGCTTACGTATTCAATCAAATTCAAGATATTAGATCAAATGTGCTTGTTAACCTCAGTTGTATCACTTTTTAAAAATAATCATAAGACCATTATTATACCCAGTATAGTCTAATACCAAGTCTTTGTTCATTATTTTTTCTTGTCTAAAAAATAGAAATATTCTTATTCTTTATTTGAATCTTGATTCAAATAAATCAAGAATAAGGGCATGGTGGCATGTGCCCTTTATCCTAACTACTCAGGAGGCTAAGGTGGGAGGATTGCTTAGGCTAGTAGTTCAAGACCAGCTGGGGTAACATAGACCCTGTCTCAAAAAAAAAAAAAGATTCATGTAGTGAGCTATTATGATGCCACTGTACTGTAACCTGGGCAACAGAGTGAGAAGACCCTGTCTCAAAAAAAAAGATTCAACTAAATCCCATATATCGTATGTGGTTTTTATAACTATCCTATATCACACTTCCCTCTCACTATTTTTTCCCCGTATTAACTATTTATTGAAGAAAATGTAGAATTTCCCATATTCTGGAGTTGCCAGATTGTATCTTTGTGGCCTTATTTAACATGTATGTCTATTCCCATAGTTCCTGTAAACTGGTATTTAGATTCAGAGGCTGGATTAGATTCAGGTTCTTTTTGTTGGAAAGAATACTTTGTAGTTGGTCCTGTATGTTTCCTATTCCCTCACTCCAGAAGGAACTTACTGTGTAGTTGTTTCCATGTTAGTGACTTAAGATTGATCTGTGACTTAGGCTTTATCAGCTTGTTCTATCCATTAAAAAGTTCATCATTAATTTTTACTTAATGGTCTTAGCTGCCGTTGATAATCGTTGCTGATATCCATTATTATACTAGGGGTTATAAAATGATGATTTTTGTATTTACTATTTGATTCTTTTGTAAAGAAGAACTATTATTAACTGCTTGGTTACCCTGAAATATAGTTTGTATAGGAAATGTAGACTGAAAACTTAATCTTTCCCTTTATCCATTTTCAAAAGAACTTTAGTGATAATTTTAAACAACAGTGCTATTCCCTAAAGCACTATTATGGAGAAGGTATCTCCAGCCTCTTTGGGAACAATGCAAATATTGTGCTGAGCAGAAGTGCCAGAATGTGGGAACTCAGATTTCTAAGATCAGAGGATATATGGCATATGTGACCCTTCTAATGTGGCCTCTCAAGTCATTCAAAAAATATTTATTATGTATATGTTATGACATATACCATGATAGCCACTTAGTTATATAGCTATGAAGAAAGAGTCAGTGTTTTGCTCTTTGATCTATTAGCTCAGTTTTTACAATTGCAAGTTTTCCCTCCCCCTGTCACTACTAGTTGGTCTTTGTTTCTGTTATAATGAACTAATTAACATCCCACAGACATACTGTACTGTTACCCCTGGTTTCTTGTCTAAGTTGTTCCCTCTGCCTGGAATATCCTCTCCATTATCTCTGATCACTCTGCCTTGCCTCAAAGCTTGGCTAACTCATTCATCTTCCATTTTTTTTTTTTTTTCTCGCTTTGTTGTCCAGGCTAGAGTGAGTGCCGTGGCGTCAGCCTAGCTCACAGCAACCTCAAACTCCTGGGCTTGAGTGATCCTTCTGCCTCAGCCTCCCGAGTAGCTGGGACTACAGGCATGTGCCACCATGCTCGGCTAATTTTTTATATATACATCAGTTGGCCAATTAATTTCTTTCTATTTATAGTAGAGATGGGGTCTCGCTCTTGCTCAGGCTGGTTTTGAACTCCTGACCTTGAGCAATCCGCCCACCTCGGCCTCCCAAGAGCTAGGATTACAGGCGTGAGCCACAGCGCCCGGCCTCATCTTCCATTTTTTAATTTAGATCACTTGCTTTGCGAAGCTTTTAACTCTTGCTGATCCTCTCCTCCAATTGCATTAGGTATCCTTTCTCTCCTCTTTGCTTGCTTAATATCTATATCATAACGCTTGTCTGATTGTGTTGAAATTGCCTGTTTACTTGTCTGCATAACCTATTAGACTGAACTTCACAAGAATTGTTTTTTGTCTGTCATTGTCTCTGTAGTAGCCAGTTTAGTGCTTGGCATTTTAGATACATTATTAATGTTATACATTATTTATTATCTAATAAACTATTATTCAGTAAATATTATTTATATGGATACCCAACTCATAATTAATATTACAGCTAAAATACTACTGTGTTAGAAATGGAAGGTCTGGTTGGGAATATATTCAAATTTTAGTCATGATTGTATTAGAATAAGAGATTGGGTGAATTTTTTCCCCATTTTTAAATTATCTTTAATGATATTATATTGATTATGGAAATATTTAGTTATGAAAAATGGGCAAGGGATTGAGCACCACAATAGTCTTAAAAAAAAAAAATGGGCAAGGGAGATTGGAATACAGCCTTTAAAAATACCCTTTTCTGTTAAAACATCATTTCTCCATTGGTTACAACCTAATCTGTATACCCATTCTCATTTATTTTGTAAACCCTGAACCTTTCAGCCTCAGCCCTTAGTTGTAACTTAGCTTTATGAACTTACAGTGAACCAGCTTCTTTGTTTTCCTAGTTACCTCCTATAAAGACTGAACTTATAAGAATGAAGTTAATATGGATTTTAGTTTTTTTGCTCTGCCCCATTCCATACTTCCTAATTTGAGTTCCTGCTAATAAGAAGTTTAGTGAATAAGGGCAGTGTCTTTTAGTTATTCCCTAGGACATTATGACCCTGAATGAGAAAAGCCACCAAAAATTATCTGGAAGATGCACTGGGTACTGTGCTTTGAAAAATGTACTTTAAGATACATCTTAAATATAGAAAGATTTTTGGGGGGTGGTTAGCCATAGGAAGAATAGGACTCATTTTTCGAGTTCCTACCTATATGTCAGATCTTGTGCAAGCTATTATACTTTATTTTTCTTTTCTAATTTAATCTTCAGAACAACCTGAGGTTCAGGATGGAACCTTAGTAATTTTAATTTAGGAACTGGGATTTGAACTTTTAGACCTGTTTGACTACAAAGCCCAAGTTCTCAACCATTACACTACAGTGTCTCAAACTTCTGATAGGATCTCCTTCCAGGCCAAGATAGAATCGATTCTGGGATAGTTGGTATTGTCTTTAGGATAAAATGTAAGTTCCTTAGCATAATATACGAAGGTTCTTTGAAATGTGTATCCCACCTACCTATCCAGCCTTTTCTCTTACTACTTTCTCTTCTACTTACCCTTTATATTGCTGATTGTTTTGAGGCTCCCCAAATTTGCTATGCTTTTCTGCTTTCGGGCTTTTGTACATGATATTCCTTTTCTCTAAAATGCCCTCCTTGCCCTATTTTGCCTGAGTAACTTTTTCTTTGTTTTTTAAAGCTCAGCTTAGTCAGTCATCTTAGGAAAACCGTCTAACCTTCAAAGACTAGGTTAGCTCTGTCTTTAGAACAGTTTTTGCCTGTTATACCAATTATTACATATTATTGTATATATCTACTTATGCCTTTCTTATGAATAATTTGAGCAAATAATAATGCTTGATTCTTTAAAAAAATTTTTTTGTATCCTCTGCATTTAGCATAGTCCTTGTTCGGTGGTAGGTACTCAATATATCTTTGTGGAATGAAGGAATATTTGAATTAACAAACTAATGTTTTAAAATGTGCTTTTTCTTGTTGAAATGCAGAGCCAAGCTTTCGAGGACTAAATCCTCCAATTCCTTGGGAACATGCACCACGTCCCCCATTCCCCCTTGTCCCAGCTTCGTGGCCTTATGGTTTGCATCAGAACTTCATGCATCAGGGAAATGCCCGATTTCAGCCCAACAAACCGTTCTATACTCAAGGTACCGTTGCTTACAAATTAGTTAATAGGCTGGGTGGGTTTTATTCTGGGACAGGGAGCCCCAGTGAAGGTGAGGTTCTGGGAGTAAACATTCATGCATTCAGTAAACATTTATTGAGAGAGCATACTGTGTGTCAGACTGTGCTAGGTGTTTTTTACTCAAGCAAGAGTAAATCAAATCTCCATGCTTTATCAGACAAGCCAAACACATAAGATAGACAAGAATAGGAACTTAGATGCATCAGTTGAGGTTGCCCTAGCAGAGGGGGCAGGATTTTGATACAAGCAATGACATCACACAAGATTTTGACAGTTGAACTAGATCTTGAAAGAGATACAGGATTTTGTTTCTTAGAGATTTTCTAGAGATTAGAGAGGAAGAGTATTCTTAGCTGAAGGAGTAATATATATAGTCACTGAATTTTTTACCTAGTATAATGAGGAAGAAGAGAAAATAATAGGACTAGAGAGTAGAGGTATATAGGAAAGATGTGTAGATGATATGGTTAGAGAGGGTAGGGTGGGATCATTATGAAGGAGTTTGGATGTGATTTGGTAAGCAGTGGGGATGTAGTAGAAGTTTTTGAGTTGAATAGAGACATGGTCAGATTTGTTTAGTAAAAGTAGGACTTGAATGACATTAAAATTTATTATATTCTGCTGGTGCTATAATAGTACCAATAATGGCTTTGACCTGGGTAATGAATATTGCAAACTAAGAATTCCCAGAAACTTGGAGCATTTTATCTAACCTGCTTGTCTCAAAGGTATCTGTTCTAACAGGTAATGTCTGAGTCTAGCCTTCAGCTCTTGATTAACCTAGGAGTTAAGAACGCTGGTGTCAGTCATTATAGTTAAGCTAGGAGTTTAAGACGTTAAAGGCAGGCACTCAGGAAATGTTGACTGAATGAAATTCTAACTTTAAGGGAAGGCTCCTGATATGTCTCAAGGCTTGATACATTTAAGCCGGAATTCCTAAACTACCCATGTACTTCTGGGGCATCCCTATATTACAGAGAGGCAGAAGTTTGACTATTGTTGAGTTCTTTTGAACAAAGAACTAGAGCTGAGGGAAGTTACCATCAGTCATACAAGTCCTTTTAAGGGGGGAGAGTCTGAAATTTTTCCTTGGTGGGTTTTTCTCCTTGACTTCTCTCCATCTCTTATTTGTCTCCTTACCTTTCTTTCACATATTCACATTTCCCTCCCCCCTTTCTCCCCACCCCCTCAAATGTTTTGACATGTGTCTTCTTGTAGTATATAAATAGAAAAAAAGAGAGCTAGTTGCAAATTAATTCTAAGGGGTTGTCAGATATATAGGCACAAGCCTTTCAGTTTCCTGTCTGTGTTGTATCCAACAGACAGATGTGCCACCCGTCGGTGTAGAGAGCGTTGTCCCCACCCACCAAGAGGAAACGTGTCGGAGTAATGCGAGTCCGTTTTCTTTCAGCTGGTCTACCGATGCACAGCAACCAGCCAATCCTGCTGTCTCAAGGGTATCCGTACCTCAATGTCAGTTACATTCAGCAGAAAAAGTGACATTTAATGGAAAGCAAAACAAATCAGGTCCTGATTTAAAATTTTAACATGTTTAGATAGCTTATTTAAATTTCAAGACTGTTTTTAAAGACTGTATTATTTGTATATAAATATGAACTATAGTTTTTACTAGTATCACCAAATTGAGTGATACAAATTTCATCTATTTTATTACCCTATTTTTAAGGGAATTTTATGTTTTGTTTAACCTTGATGAATTGTATAAAGAGAGAATTTAAAAATTACATTCTTTATTTTCTATTAGCTGTATTCATACTTTGGTTGCTTCAGACTTTATATATTGTTCTTAAGAATTAGGAAAGAATTTCATGTGTTTTAAATTTGTCACTTCTATTCTTTACAGAACCTTGTAGTGCCAAAAACTTTTTAAAAGGCAAAAAAATAAAATAAAATTACAACATGAAGATTGAGAATTTTTTTCTTTTACATACTTGTATATTGAACATATTCAAATGAAGAGAAAGTCGCTTTCAGTTCTATTTAAAGTAGTTCTATTTTAAGTTAATAAATCTTTTTAACAAGAATCAAATTTGTTTAATTTATCTGGTTGTTTAGATCAGGGGTCCCCAACCTATGGTGAGTTGTATATTTATTTCATTATATATTACACTGTAATAATAATAATAGAAATGAAGTGCACAATAAATGTAATGTGCTTGAATCATTCTGAAACCATTCCCTGCCCCCCATGGAAAAATTGTCTTCCATGAAAATGGTCCCTGGTGCCAAAAAGGTTGGAGACCACTGGTTTAGATGATGGAGGTGTAACAATTCAGAGATTTGTTTTATTTCAGTGAATAGAGTATTCTAAATCATAGACTTAAAGATTCAAGGATCTTTTCATGTCCTTTATTTTACTGGATCTTTACAACACCCAGATGAAGTTGAGAGAAGCAGGCACCATCTCCATTTTATCTCCATTGAAAATAAAAACTGAAGCACAAAGCAATAAAGTGAATTCCAAAGGTAGCACACTTACATGTTGGAATTTGAATTAAAACATTTTTTGAAGGAGAGCATTTTAAACATTGAGACTAATACTGGCAATTAGAATGGAGGGAAGATAATTCTTATTTACTGAGGAATTAGTATGTGCCATACTCTATCCATTCTGAGTCCTGTATTGCCACCTGGAAAGCACATTTGCCAGGATGGTAATTATACTTGTGATCAATTATGATTGTAGTATTGGAATTCAGACTCTAGTTGGTGGTGACATATATACATATATATATATTCTTTAGCTGTTTTGGTACTATACGGTGAGGTGAGGTAATTTTCTCTAACCCATTAATTAGCCAGATTTGCCAGGGATTTTAGGCTAAATGATTCTATGGATCTATGTGGAAGATGCAGACTAAGTGCATAAAAATGTATTTTAAGGACAATATATTATCTTTGTTCTGCTCCCTCACAATCATTACTTAAATAGGAGACTGCCTGGGCCTTTGCCATTATTTCCCAGTATGATACATATTTGAAAATGTTGCAGGAGGTTGAGGGTATTTGTGTCATATTTACAGCCCTGAGTTAAGATCAGGTGTATTTACTGTTACTTTTTCATATTAAAGCCTTTAGCACACTATTAAATGGTAGAGTCAGCTTCATTTGTTTTGTTAATGAGACACCTGACCCAACCTATTCATTTATGTTAAAATATGACTTGGAGCATTCAAGATTTTCTTTTAAATTAAAGTTCAAGTATTTCATCTCCTTCTAGGTCTTGGAGAACAGGTGATGAGGTATACAGGGGTGTTCATTTTGCTGTTCTACTTTTGTATGTACAGTCAGCCCTATCTGTGGGTTCAACCAACTACAGATTGAAAATATTAGGGAAAAAATCATAATTTTTTTTTGTCATAATTCCCAAAACAATACAGTATAACAACTATTTATGTAACATTTATGTTGTATTAGGTATTATAAGTAACTTAGAAATGAATTAAAGTATACAAGAGAATGTGCATGGGTTATATGCAAATACTGTATGCTATTTTATATTAGGGACTTGAGTACCCTTGGAGTTTGGTTTTCTGGGGGAGGTCCCCAGATAATCAATATCCCCCATGGATACCAATGGAGGATTGTATTTGAAATTTCCTTAAAGGAAAACAACCTGCAACAACAGAATGCCCCCAGCCCAGCCTTCCTTCCTAAGGGAGAGCAGTATACCACTTGGCAAAAGCTATTAATGGGTAACCTAGTAACCGATAACCTGAGTTTTACTTACATAATAGTGTTATATATACTAATTGTCAGCATCTCATTTGCCCCTCCTTCATTCAGTAACTGCCAGTGTTTGATAACTGGCAAAAGTGTCCTAAGTTGAAAAACAGAATAATTTTAGTTTATAATTTATATAGTAGCTCAGTTTTATAAATTTGCAAAGTTGATTATGAATTCAGATTCATTATAGAGAAATTAAAAAGTACAAAAAAATTATCAATCGTATGTAGAGAAAACACTCTTAAGATCTTCTTTTGTAATGCTTTGTATAATGTTTAAAGACATGGAGATTAATATTTTTCCCTTGCCGTTAGGATTATTAAAAATATGGGTATTAATGATATACTGTGTAATTTATTTGTTCAGTCCCCTGTAGATGGGCATTATAGCTGTTTCCAGTTTTTCTAATATACATAAAATACGTAAAATGATGGGATAAAGCTATTTGTGTGTATATTTGATTATTCTGTTAGCATGAAATTTCCATATATGGCATTATTGGGTAAAAGAATAAAAGTTCTAAGGTTCCCACTACATATTGCCAAAATACCCTTCAGAAAAGTGGTTACCAATTTGCAGTTCCAGCAAACAGTGTATAAAACGTGATGGTATACTTATAAAAAAAGCTTTAAACTCCAACTCATTGTTTGTGTGAAAAATAATGTGCTTATTACAAAAGAATATAAGCAGTATATGAAAGTACAAGGAATAAACAAATCACTCAAAAGTTCATCAGCCAGAAATAAGTACTATTACTATCTGGTGAACTTTATTCATTCCAGCCATCTCTCTTAATCATATAGACATTTACATACAAATAGTTTTACAAAAGTAGGCTCATATTGCTGTATTTAGTAAATATAGCAAATTAATTTTACTTGTATTTAACAAAAGAAAACAAATTGAACAAATGTTCAACTCCAATATTTTCCCCACAAGAGAATATACTCCTGAAAGATTTCTCCTAAAACTAAGGAAAACACTAAAGAGGCTGGAGTTATTTTTTCTAGCATAACGTATGTTTAAATAGACTATACCTGAGTTCTGCTATGATGGATGAGGCCAGCACACTTAAGAGTTTATCTACTTCTGGTTTTTATTTATAGACAGTGTTCATAATATTAGTAGTTAATTTGAACCTTATAATTATTTCCCATTTTTTATTTAAAGTTTCTTAAGGGTTTACTGCCATTCCTTTTACTCCTTTTTTGTTCCTAAGTTCTTAATTTGATTCTTCTTTGGTTGAATTTCATTATTCGGCAGTTTTTCCCAAAGGCTCATGACTGTATACTTTTAATTTCTTACATACTTGAGAATGTGTATTCTCTTTGTAGACAACTTTGGCAGAGTATAAACTTTCTGACACTTTATTTTTCTCAAACCTTTGGAGCCTTTTTGCTTCATTGACTTACGAAGTTTGTTATAAGATCTGAGACCATGTTGATTTTTCTTCTCATTATACATGGCCTTATTTCTCTGCTTGAAACCTCATTTATCTTTTGAATTCATCAGGATATTTCTTGATAGATTGCTGGATTTTCTATAGTTTTTATCTCTGTTCTTTTCCATTTTTTTCTCCAGCTTATTTGTGCTTTCTGTTTTGTATTTTGTGTTTTCTAATAAGGCCTCTAAGTTCTACCAATCTTATTTACCATCTCTTAAGCTTTTCTTTGAACTTTTATACTTTTTATACTTGTTTTTTTTTTTTTTTTTCTGAGACAGGGCCTCTCTCTCTTTCTGTTGTCCAGGCTACAGTGCAGTGGTGTTCTCATAGCTCACTGCAACCTTAAACTCCTGGGCTCAAGTGATCCTCCCTCCTGAGCTTCCCAAAGATTACAGGCATGAGCGACCACACCCGGCCACATTTTTTTAAAAAAACAGGTCATGTTATCTTTTGTCTTTTTTAATTTGTCATTTTAACCTCTTTGTGGGAGTGGGTGCATCTGTGATCATTGTTTTCTGATTAATGCTTATTTAAACTTAGGTCAGTCTACTTAAGAATAGCAGGAAGAAGTTAGAGGAATGAGCTTTAAGTAGGGTGGTTCTATTGGAACCCCCTCACCAAATCCATTTTTTCCTTTGCCCCTGCGAACACATCTCCCTTTATTTCTTAGCATTAAGAGGTCATTATGTTTTATGGCAAAGCTTTCAAGGCAGTGTATTTCAAATTGTGGGAAGTGAAATCAATTTAGTGGTTTGTACCTAATATTAAAAACTGGTATCAAATAAGAAATATCAGAATTCATTTTGCATAAGGAATAAGAATTCTTTCCTGAAATTTCAGTACATAATATCCATATGTGTATACAGAAAATAAAACATTTTTAAAATGTAGGCTGTATCCAAAAAATTTTTGAGTCTCTCTTTGTTGCCCTGGGGAGAATGCAGTGGCATTGTTGTAGCTCACTGCAACCTCAAACTCTTGGGCTCAAGCAATCCTCCTGCCTTAGCCTCCCAAGTAGCTGGGGCTACAGGTGCATACCACAACACCCAGCTAATTTTTGTATTTTTAGTAGACGGGGTCTCTCTCTTGCTTATGCTGGTCTCCAACTCCTGTGCTCAAGCAGTCTTCCCACCTCAGCCTCCCAGAGTTCTAGGATTACAGGAGTGTGCCCCCATGCCCAGCTTAGTCATTAAGTTTTGAAGCTACCATTCCAAGGCCTTATCCAATAGGTTAGCACACAGATGACAGAAATGGCTTTACAATAAGGATTTTCCTTCTGCCTCGTCTCCTCTGCAATGCTCTTTTATCAAAATGATACCTAGAGAGATGTTCATGTCCCACTCAACTCTTATCTTTGTTCTACTACTCTTGCTATAGGTTAGCTGTGATGCCCCAATTTTGGTCTAGATTTTACCATATGTCTAAGTATGCTTTGAAGTTTGTTTGGAGAATTTTACTTCTACTATTATTAAAATTTATTGGGGCTATTTATATGTGCGTGGGGGTTTACTTATACTTTATAGCTTAAAATAAAAGTTTTAACAATATACTGGAGGATGATTTGGTTGGTCCATGTATTGCTTAGCCAGAGGACATTTCTTTCTACCTAGATCACTTTAGTAAAGAAATAACTGCTAGGACTCTATAACAGATTTAAGTGTGTGTGTATGTATATATATATATATATATTTTAGACAGGGTCTTGTTCTGTTCCCCGGGCTAGAGTGCAGTGGTATGATCATAGCTTACCACAACCTCAAACTCCTGGGCTAAGGTGATCCTCTTGGCTCAGCCTATTGAGTAGCTAGTACTACAGGCACCAAGTCACCATGCCTGGCTACCTTTTTCTTTTTT